TGTTGAATTTTTAGTTAGTTGCTTTAGAAATAGCAAAAAGTGCTTATATCTAAACGAAAGTTTCCTTTTAACAATTTTATTCACGATGTTTTTGTAGGGTGTATCTTTAGAATGAAATGTTGGAAATATGAATAGAATAAAAAAGAGGGAAATAAGTATTTTTACAGCAATACCTTTGCTGTGTCTACTGGTTGTCATATAAAACTTTCAATACCTTCTTCATTTGCAAATCAGTATGATAGTTATATTCAGTAATTGCCATCAACCACCTACCTTTATTGTTTAACTCAACACGTGGCATATATGGTACATACTTGCACGTGTGTTGATTGAATGGCCTACTATCACTGGCAGACGATCGCAAACGTGTATCTTGACTTGAATAACAAAACGGAACGGTTCTACAAAGGTGAAATTGTTACCATATTACAATATTACTGACGTTGTGTTACATTATCATCATTTTTCTACGTCTTGCAACAATCAACAGGATGAGTTTGTCTCATTTTGTGCTCTATTTTCTATATTAATCTTACACTGGACTCGTACTATGAGGTCACGTTTATTGTAGTCGATTTTTATAAGAGTTTTTTGCCCCTTTTAGTTACCCGGTATTCTGGTGTCAATGACCGATGAAACCAGTGTACGAGTCGCCTATAATTCATCACTTTTTACAGTCGGCCTCATGCTATAGGTAGTAATTTATCTTGATTTTTTTCTGTAAATAATCTGAATGTAATCAAAGAATAATAATTATAACTTTAGTATAACTGTTTACAGTGGTACCTACTCGTATTATAGTTTGCCTTGTAACTTGCCTGGATAGTTTCGAGTACATATTACCAATTTGTATTAAGAACGATTAAAGCAATTTTTTTTGTATTTTATTATTACACCTCTTTCTAGAAGTATTATTTGCTACACAAAATCATATAAAAAAAAACATAATGGGGTTAATTCTGAGATGAGCTTTCTGTAAACCTATCTGTAAATTAAAATTTCAATTTGATTTCGCAACTAAATCTTTATTGCAAGGATTAATATGAACTACTAAAAGATATGTCAATATTATTGTAATTTTATGGTGATAGATGAACCAGTAATTTCGCAAATTTTTAAATATTAGTTTAAGAGATTAGTTTAGAGAAATGGCACCATAGACTTTAAAACGGTATCGTATGAGGTGTGTCGTGGATAGTACATTAGGTAACTAGTATTCTTTTGTGTCTATTGTAATATTAATGTCCATACATAAGTGCCGTTTCCCATTTATCACTTTCCGTCATACTTGTTTGCTATTCTAAGTGATATAAATAACCTTATATAGCTATGCGCAGTAGCTAATATACTTAGGTTATTTGTTTGTTATAAGTAGGAATGGTTGATATTTATCGTTATTATCGAACTATTGATATTAAAGAATAAAATACTCGTATTAATATATTAATATTAGTCTCTTCAAAATATCGTAATCGCAGTCTTTTAAAAAAGTTTAGTTTTATAATTACCAAATAAAGAAATACGATAATATTTTTTAGGAAGGAAGTTGTTAACAAATAGTGTTTATAAACAAATTGTCGTACCTCTTTCTCACAGTATAAAATCATCTCGTCATACATGAAAATCTATACCATAGATGTCATAAAAATTAGGTACATGTATTATTAGCATGTAAGACTTAACTACCTCTTCATATGAACACAACAGTTATAAATTAGAGAAGGTATAAGCATGTTATATATACCTACGCAAAGTCCGTTTAAAGAGTTCTTTTGTCTTGGTCATTAACTATAGTTGTATAATATATAAAGTACCAAATAACGAATGCCAAATTAAATTGAAAATTGTGTGAAACTTCATTGCTAAATTTAACTTTAATATGAATTAAACGCTCCTTGTTATTATTGTTAATAACAATTCAAATTAATACGTGATAATAAATTATAAAAAGGTTTGTCAAAATGTACTTCATGCTTTATAGGACGACGTGGATGATTAACACTAAAACAGTACACATTATTTAAACATAAATAATTTATCATAAAAAAATAGGTTAATAGATCAACTATGACTGTCAACTTAAAGTAAAAACTGACATTAAGTCAATTGTCCATCACATCATGCTACAACTCACAGAGATTAGATATCAACGAAAAAGCGTAGCTATGAAAAAAATATGGACGGACAGTACATATCGCATACTCTTGTTTATGTATTATGTCAACTAGCTATTCGACGATCATGATGTTCTGTAAACAACGAATATTAAAGTAGGTAGGTACCATTTATACACGTGTGTGAAGTCACACAAAAAAACACTAAGTTTAAGAGTGATATTGTTAATATTTATACCTGACTAGTTTTTACACGCGACTTCGTTTGCATGACCGGGACAAAAAGTAGCCTATCTACTTACCCATCCTATCTGTCCTTCTCTATTGTGAATACTACCAATTCTACCTGTCCTATTACACTATTATTCTTAAATTACGTTTGTAAAGATGGATGGATGGTTGTTACTCTTTCACGCAAAAAATACTGAAAGGATTTGAATAAAATTTAGTACACGATTTGGCTACACCCTAATTTAGCATAAAAATCAGTTGTCATAAAATATTCCATAGGTTATGTACTGAATTAACAGGCAAAACCGCATGGATGTAGCTAGAAATACATTGGTATAGAACCTATGTATTATTTTACTTGTTATATATATGTACGTAAAGTTTAATTTACATACAGAGTTATTTCCTCATTATTTACTGCTACCAGGAAATAGATAAAATGTTGAATTTGTAATAATTATTCGGACTAATGATGATTTAATTAGTAGCATCTATAATTTATATACCTATACTTAAAAGATAAGTATACAAAAATAACAAATTACTATTCATAAACACTTCTAAAAGGCCCTTCACAAAAAAAATCTATCCACACAATTATATAAAATTGTAACTATATGATGTCTGTACGTAGGAGATATTTAAAAAATAATATGGCATTAAAGATAGTAAGAGCAATAGAAACTAAACCGATATATTTTTTTTAAATTTTTGTGAATCTCTATTTGTTTGATCCTCCATCAAGCAAAAACTACTGCACCGAATTGGATGCAGTTTTCACAGTTGCACAACCGTGAAAGTCTAATGTAGAATCTGGTATAAGCTTTATTTTGATATATTATCCAAAAATGGTATATTTGAATAGTTGACCTATTGTCAAACTCTACATATACGAAGTCGTAGGCATAATCTAGTTATATAAATATAAATAATTAAGTACGCATATGGAAATGTTTACTGACAGTCGCTATCATAAACAAACATGACAATATTCACTGCCCTTGATCCGGTCAACTGTTTTGCAGCTTATCTCTTCCAAGTGTGTGATGACTTGTGATATAAATATAATTAATAAAACTATATCTAGGTATAATAAAATAATTATAGTTTCAGATTACACAAAACTGGCTTTGTAATTAAGTAATAATTCGACCACATATTTTTTTTAATTTTCATCCAAATTGATAAAATCATTTAAAATAATGAGAAACGAAAATCTTATTAATATTATAAATTTAAAACTTAGTCTATTTGTTTAATTATTACCTCTTGTTACCTTAAAGTCTCAGTAATTAAGTAATAATTCGACCACATATTTTTTTTAATTTTCATCCAAATTGATAAAATCATTTAAAATAATGAGAAACGAAAATCTTATTAATATTATAAATTTAAAACTTAGTCTATTTGTTTAATTATTACCTCTTGTTACCTTAAAGTCTCAGTCAATTGAGAAGGGCATAAGCCACTGTTTATCCAAATTACAGAGAATATAATACTAGTATCCTAGTCGATAAATGTATAACTTAGATGAAGTCGCAAGTATAAACTAGTTACAATTTAGAATTCCAACTGAGCATTTTCACGTAAAACAATTTAAAACTCCTTTTTTCTTTCTTTATGAGCTCTTTATTGCACCCTTAAAGAATAATAGAAATATATATACGAGTGTAGTATACCTATATTATACTTATAAATACAAAAGGTGGTCTTATTATTAAACCGATCTATTCCAGATCATATTTGGTTAGAATATAAATAGTATGAATGCAAAGGTAAATCCATACTTGGATTTGTACAACAAAACAAAATAAATTTAATAGTAATTTAAATGAATGCCTGCCTAATATCAATAACAAATAATATTTTTACACTTAATAATTTAAATATAAAAAAGTCAATTTTAAATTTAACATTGAATATTCTATACTCTTATTTAAAATACTATCAGTAGTTATATATATATATATATATATATATATATATATATATATATATATATATATATATATATATATATATATATATAGTTAAATTAAACATTAAATTAACAGCTAGATTAATAACCTACCTAATAAGTTAAGTTAATTATTAACTTAATGTTAGGTATTACAATTATTTTCTTAAAAATCGGCATTTATTAGATAAGATTTATAAATATTAAAAATCGTATACGTGTCGTCAATTTCGAATCTGTAAGTCTATAAAATCACACAAACAACAAGAAACGTAAAAAAATTATAATTGTAAATTTGGCTCAGCGCAAAACACCTTGACAAAGGCACAAGCAAATATATATCCGGCTTAATACGACGAATAAAGTATTTATTTTTTATTTGTAGTATAGACTCTCTAGTATGTCCCGAGGACGATTACTAGCAACCCTATTGCTAAGTATATGCCCCACCAGGTCGACCTTTACTCAATTTTCTTGAAAATTCTGATTAATTCCTGATGAAATTGTCTCGATTGGCCCAATCTGATTTCATTCTTATCACTCACTGGTGGAGTACCTGTCAGTCAGCCTATTATTATTATATTAAATATGTCGATATGTAGCAATGTTCCTACAACGAAACAAAAACTATAGCAATAGATATCGATCTATTAGGTAACATGACTTGCAAGCTAATGAAATGTTTTATTTGTTTACAGATAACAAAGCAGTAGTAAATTCATCAACAGAAGGATATTAATAGAACAAAAATGGTTCAAGTAAGTACTTTTTTAATCGATAGTTTATAGATTATATATGTATGTCTTGTGACATCTTCATAATCAGGGATATTAGACATCTAAACCTTGAGAATCTTGATAGTTTCAACACATTACCTAATTATTATTATTTAAGTAGACAACTATTACAATTAAGTAACGTGTTGACTTCCTTCTCTTCTAAAAATTCTTGCGTTTAAAAAATATATTTTAGTAAAAAAGTACGAATTAGATATAGGCACCTAACGTTTGCCTAAATTTTCTTAATCAGTTTAGATATTCATAGTAGTATTTAGAATCTAAGTGATTTTATAAAATTCCTTCCCGTTGCCTGGTATTGTCAGACAGAATGTTGGAGTGCAACAATCGAAATGTCCGAAAAAAAAACCAAGCCAGCATTGTTCTTGATTAGTATTTAAATAAGATATTGATACATCTTATTAAAATACTAATCTAGTGATATTTAAATAATAATAAAATCCTATGTGTATTTCATTAAATCTACAGGAATCAAATGGCGGCTTGCCAGCGCCTCAAGAACTGGAGACGTTCTTGTCTCCAGAAGAAAAGAACAAAGAGAAAATAGTTAACACGTAAGTTTATCGATAAAAAAATTTGAAAAATAATATATTATTAATCTGGTTCATCGAAAAATGTATTTACTTCTCAAGAATAGTCTTATGGGTGTATTATGGGTGCCACCGTGTATTATGTGAAGTCTACTCTTATGGTATTGTTCGCGTCTATGGACAGTGGTCAATACTTCTCTTTAGGTAGATCGTCAGCTTGTTTTCTATTGTACACTACATTAAAAGGCTATAAGTTCAACTCTATCATATCAATCCTAGATGTTTAACTGAGATACTTTGAAATATATAAAAGGAACCTACAAAATTATATATTACATATAAAATAAAAAAAAACACGACTGAACAACCCAAAAGTCAAGTTCAAAAAGTTTGGTTAGTCAATTGGCTGTTTTGCACTGTAGGTAAGCTACAGTACAAGAATATTTTTTTTTCTATCGCGAAAACAGCCGAAGTTGTTTGTATTATTATTAATATAAATTAAATTTTGTTTTTAGTTATAACATGACGAAGGATGCGGAATTAGGTGACTTTGATCCCTTCACCGAAAGGAAACTGGACAACCCTACTTCGTAAGTATCTATACATTTCAATCTATTGAAAATTGATATATAATGTATTTTAACACTTTTTTGATTAGCTAGATATTAATAACGAGGTATTTTCCGTTAATATTCTGTTGATAACTACAATTTTATTAAGATTAGCAATCTAGGTAAGGAAGCAGATGCATATCCTAAATAGAGGATTATTTTTCAAAACACGGAACTGCTACAATTTTGTCGTTTAAAATTACTAAATGCGCGTATTATTAACTATGTTTTCGTCAATCTTTAGGAACGTACTAGCAAAATTTTTTTGGCCACCTGCGATACTACTGCATATGCGAATTATTTTGCCTAGCAAAAAATGTTATGACTATTTTTTTTTCAGATAATGTGGCCGATTTTATTGTGGCACTTTTCTAAACTTATCTCTTAAACCTATAATTTTTATATTAATAACTTTGCAAAGTTTTTATGAGTCGTTGACTCAAACTAAAATTGTCATAATTTTGACTTAAATCTATTAGAAAATTAGTTCATATCGGTCCTTAAAATAAAGATTTCGCTGTAATATCAAATTGCAATTGTAACGTTAGAGGTATGTTTAGAGAAATCGCGCCTCAGAATCAACCTCAAAGCCTTGTATTAGATCTTTATTTTAATATCTCATTCACATTATAACGTGGCAATAAAATCGTGCCATGCTTTGCCGTGCCATGCCATGCTTTGAGCTATGATACATTATTAAATTATATACCTATTCTCTATTCAGCTAAAGCGAAAACTGCTGTACGATAGTTTGTTTGTAATTTACTTATTTAAAACTAGCAAAATTAGAAGTAGATACGTAAAAGATATTTTGAATAGTATCTACCTTGAACAAAAATATCTAAAGAACGGCATGCAAACAGTGTAAAATTAAATTGAGTGATTGTATTTCTCTGCGTTACTTAAAACAAATTTCACCAAATTTCATATTGTGATAACGCAGTAAATATTTATTAGCAGATGTTTATCAAATCTCTTATGCTTCATCAGATGTATGGATTCTTAGAAGGCGATAAGAATCAATGGCAGAACCACGAATAGCTCGTATCTGTAGGCAGATAATATTATGTTCCTGTCTTTATCTGGATTAGTTGATTGTAATATTCTAAATATTTAGATGTACATACAATTGCGGGTACAGCAATCTCTATTTCAATACAGTACCTGTAATAAATTCATTAAAATTTATATAATAAACAGTTGAAGATTCAATGCTACAAAATATTAGTGTTTACCTATTAAGTTATAATTTACCTGTAATTATTAACCTGTATGTAAGTCTTCTATAAATCTTTAAATGTAGTGTTTATTATTATTATTATTTTGTCATTTCAGAAACAATGATACGCTGACCCATCTTCTAAAAGCATCTCTTGGTACTGGAATTCTGGCAATGCCTCTAGCTTTCAAATGCGTAGGTCTGATCTCTGGAATTTTCTTCACAATTCTCGTTGCTGTTGTCTGCACCCACTGCTCGTACATACTTGTAAGTATCTGCCAAACTTTATTATTTATATTTTTCTACTGTATAATTTTAATGATGTAACAGTATTGCAAATGTTAAAGAAAAAAATAATAAAAGCGTTTGTATGTTGAAATTTAGCATGAAAATAAATCAAAAGAACATATTCTTGTATTTGTCCTTCATGCTTGGATAGAATCGATAAGTATGTACAAAATGTAACGTTTCAGATATTTCCTAGTTGTAAGAGAGTATTAGACCGCTCTCTTACGAGTAAAAATTTCAGCCAGATTTTTGTTTTAAAAATCAATAACAAATCACACAAAAATAAAAGTTCAGGAGTAAATTAAATACCTAATTAACACTTAAGGTATAAATAATATATATAAAAAAATAAAATAAAGATTCAATCCTATTTAAGTAAGTACTCTTACGATATCTACATATATAGGTACATACATATCTGTCACGCCTGTCTCCCATTAGGGTAGGCAGAAACAATGGAACGCCAAATGCTTCGATTCAAACAAACCTACTATACTATAAACCTACGATATCTACTTACTCATTATTTGATACCTACGAACAATACGATTTCATTAAATGTGTACGAGTATACAATCCATAAAGCGTATCTTTATGGACATTAGATTGTTATCTGAACTACCTTCGATATGGTTATTTTGATTTCTGATTAGTTTCTATCAGATTACCTTATAAAATCTACAATTACAAAGAAAACCAAAGGTTTAAAAAATGGCAGTGTCACTAACACCTACCTGTGCACTTTGAAAGATTACAGGTCAAAATTTTACAAAAATGCGAACGGTTGCATTTCGTCGTTGCTTGCTTTGCGATTTACCATTTGTTGTAAACTATTTAAAATATTAACTATACTTTTGTTATCTCACGAATTACCAATTTCTTAATAAACATATTACTTTTTTTTATACCACGAAAGTGCCAAACAACCCGTCTGGTGGTAAACGGTCACTGGAACCTATGGACACCTGCAACATTAAGGTTGTCACTTGTGCGTTGCCGATTCTGAAGAAACATTAATATACTCTTTTTGAAGAACTCCATACTGAATATAGTATTAAGGAAAAATCTCAGCAACGAACTCATTCTACAGCGTTATAATTCTATGATTTAGTTCTGCTAGTGGAACAGAACAGACAAAAAAATCCGTTCTGCCCCACTAATATTTTATTGTATTTCATATCATTTTAACACTATTTCATTACTGCGTTCCATTGTTTCTTCTTCTTGGAAGATAGGCGATATACATTTAACACAAATAAAAAACAAATATTTACTTATTAATCATTAGAATGACCACATAGTCATTAAAATTTTTTTTACGAGCATCATGTCAAATAAAAAAGGCTTTATAAACAAAAAGGGATAATATTTAGGTATTTGGCTTAATACAAAATCATTTTTTATGATTTGTTACTTTTATGTCTTAGACTCAAAAGTCTTAACATTTTGACCTATTGAATGCGTAAGACTAAATAGATTTATTATACTTGTAAAGTAGAATTAAATAAAATTATTTGTTCATTTAATTCTATTAAAATCAAACTGCTGTGCACGAGTCGAAGTGTGATAGAACTAAATCGTAGAACTACACGAATACAATTGAGCGTTTGCGGAAGAAAACTCTTCTAAAACTACAATTAATATAATTAATTATTGATTAGATGTTTAAAACATTTTATTTACAGATCAAATGTGCCCATGTACTATACAAAAAAACGAAGAAAACTGCAATGACTTTCCCGGAAGTAGGCCAAGCTGCACTCGAAAATGGGCCACAGAGCTTAAGAAAATTTGCTAACGGTTTCAGGTAAATTCATTAGAAAAATAATTGTATCAACTGTTAACTGTTCAATGCTGTAGAGTCCCCCATAAGTTTTGCCAGTAGTTGCCACACTTGACAACCGCAGTTTGGCTTTTTGTGATGTTTTAAGACAGACCCTATTGCCCATCCCTCGATCGTAAGTTCCCTTAGTCGCCTCTTACGACATTTGACGTATTCTATGCAGGGACCTACAAGACTAGAAAAATAATACTCTATCATAAATGAGAGCAAGTTGATTTACGTATTATATATATATGTATTTTACGTTATACGGCTTTTTTTAAAATGTATATATACTTTTATATATACTTATAAAATCGTTTATCGTGACTGATTATCAACAGATAGCCATAACTCCAAAGTCTAAAAAGCTGGCATTTGGCATACAGATTTATTTTATAATGTAACTATCCACAGCATATAACGTAAGCAACTAAGAAAGGATTTTTGAAAATCTCACCATAAAGGGGACACCACGCGTGCAATTCCGTGAACAACGACTAGTATTATATAAGTAATAATTCTTTGTTTAGAACATAAAATACTAAATGCTATTTTCCATCTAAACTTTACCTTACACATTATGCCGTACTTTTCATACATAGCTAGCTAATGTGCAATTGATTGAACGATCAAACTCAATAAATGGAAAAAGCCTATACTTATTCAAAATTTATATATCCTTCTACATTAAATACTTTATTCTTATAAATAAATAATATCTTTTCATACACTTTTATCCTCTACAAGGCGATTAAGTATAGTACGATATTTCACACATGTTAAGTATCCTGCAATTTTTAATTTTTTATATTTGTTTTCAGAATCTTCATTCTTGTGAGTCTGTTCCTGACCTACTTCGGTACGTGCTCAGTGTACACCGTCATGATATCCAAGCACATATTAAAGGTATCATTTTTAATTTTACGAATAAATTAAAAATAGGTTTCGTATAATAAAATCGACTTTAGCGATTTGACGAAACGTATTACTGTAACAACTACTGTAACGATTTACTGTAAAAACTGTCAGTCTTTACGGTTCTACGAAATAATACGTTAAAAAATTTTAACACGTGCAAATTCATGAAAATTACTGTACACTATCTACTTCTACGCCAAGGTCCTCGCGGCTCTAGGCAGAGACAACTTAGTGTTAACACGTTATATATATATATATATATATATATATATATATATATATATATATATATATATATATATATATAATGTACAATTACTTTAGTACAATAATTACGTAACATTTTTTCACTACCACTATATTTCATATGCTTTCTGTTTTTACCTAATGGTTAGATGATAGAAAATACCATATAATTAAACTCGCTACTTGTAATAAAACTTTTATTGCACTGTAAATAAATGGCAAGGATGTGTAATGTAATTTTTTTTTATATTATTTATTTATACTTTACTGACCACACTACAAAAAATATTGGTCAAAAGACGGACTTAATACTATATAGTATTATCTGCCAGTAACCTTTGGCAAATAAAAAAATTTATTCTATAATATTCATAATAATAGTTTAAAAATCGAAAAACATTAAAAATAATTAATGGTCTGTCTATCGTTCTATAGAAATACTCAAGGCCTCATTTAATTAAAATCCTTTGAGGTGAACACAGCTTCGCTTCGTTTTTCCAATATTACTTTGTCGTTAGCTGCTTTATTTTTGGCCTCGACAATAATGTATTATTTATCTTTAATTTCAGGTCGTGGCCTATTATATGAATACCCCAGAAAAAGAAGTTGAAATCAGAATATTCATAATCGCCCTTTTACTGCCTCTTATTTTTATGGCTTGGATCCGTAACTTGAAGTATCTTGCTCCAGTTTCGATGATCGCCAATATATTCATGGGACTTGGACTGGGCATTACTTTTTACTATCTAGTGGGCACCGGCGACTTGAAAGTAGATAACATTAAAAATATGCTCATAAAACCACCAAATCAGTGGCCGGATTTCTTCTCGCTTAGTATCTTCGCTATGGAAGCCATCGGCGTAATGATGCCACTTGAGAACGCCATGGAAACGCCCCAAGCTATGCTCGGCTACTGTGGAGTCCTCAACAAAGGCATGTCTGGCGTGACCTTCGTATATATTCTTCTGGGATTCCTCGGTTACCTCCGTTTCGGTGAAAACGTACAAGATTCTATCACACTCAATCTGCATGACAGTGACATGTAAGTAAAATATATTCTATTACGTTGTACTGTTACAGATATATAATTCATTTATAAACTATAAATTGTTTTGAGGTATTTCGTTAATCATTCTATATCCAATCGAAGAACAATTCATGTATTAAATAGATACTACACTGTTACTATTACCAGAGGAAAAATAAAATGAAAGTAGAAAACAATGTTGGAAAAACTATTCATTAGGTTGAAGTTATTCATTAGATTAAGCTGACTTTTAAAAAAGTCTTCTTTAAAAAAACTTCAACCAAAATGTAGGATCATTTGTTCTTAAGGGTTTAATACTAAACCTACCAAGCGCGTTCAAATTACCGTTTTTGAAATTTTATTTAAAAATTTTCATGTATAACGTTACTGTATCACAATGTAATTTATTGACTTTTCCTATAATATACATACAAGCCATTTTTCAATATTTATTATAACTTACTATTATTTACTTGTTTACTATCCAATTAACTAAACTCTCTTTCTATATTAAGATACATACTTTATTTTAGAGCGTTCATTTGACCGCTCATGGTAGGATTAGGTATATATAAAATGTCGGTAGGTTTAGTGTTAAAAGTAAAAAAATAATTTCTCGAATAATTTATTCAAAAACTACTAAATAAAATTAATAATATTTAAGAAAACAGTGTAACTGAAATAATTCTACATACTTTGGTACCTGGAAAAATTTACTAAGATATGATACTTTCAAAATAGAGTATTTTTACGCTCTTTAAAGTGCAGCGTTATTTTAAAAGTAGCATAACTATATCGTTTTATAATAAAAAAAATCAAACGTCATTATAAAGCAAAAATTTTAAAGTTTATTTTTTAGCCCACTAAATGATTAAATCAATAACACATTTTGTGATCATTAATTTAGATTTTGTTCCTTAGTTAAGAAATATAAGCGTTTTTAAAATGCATTTCTTATAAAATCTACAGATTTCTATAATTTCATTTATAAATGCTTATACGAAGTTTCAAGCTTGCAGAATTTTTTTCTATTTCTGCCTTGTTTCCACATTCTTTTTCCTATATATTCAAATGATGCCAAAAGAAATTAAAATATTTTCATTACAGTAACAATTGCGTAACTATGCAAATTAATAAGTTATTAAGATCGTTATTTCATGCAGTAAAAATATATAATAAGTACTTTAGATGTAAATTAATTTAATATTTTTATTTGCAGACCCGCACAAATTGTCAACGTCTCCATCGCTATTGCTGTGTACTGCACTTTTGGCCTGCAATTCTTCGTGTGCATTGAAATCATGTGGAACAGCCTCAAGGACAAGTTTTCAAAGCGACCAGATCTCGCTGACTACATCATGAGGACTATAATGGTAACAGTGTGCGTGCTGCTAGCTGTGGCAGTACCCACTATTGGTCCATTTATGGGCGTTATTGGCGCATTCTGCTTCTCTCTTCTAGGCCTTATCGCTCCCGCCTTCATTGAAGTTATCACCTACTGGGATATTGGATTTGGTCCTTGCAAATACTTAATCTGGAAGAATGTCCTCGTTCTTTTCTTCGGCCTTTTCGCGCTCATATTTGGTACTAAAGATGCAGTCATAAACATAATAAACGAATATTAGTAGCACCGTCTGTATAAACGGTATCGATAGTATCAAATCAATGTATCTACTTACATGTGATAGATATATCAGAATTAAGATCTTAGTTATTTCTAATTATAAATTTTTTAGATAATCTTTTCTATGATCTAGTATAATTTGGATTAAATAAGGACGATACAAAGTTAATCGTAATGGTGCTATTTAATGCATTGTTATCAACATTTACTCGGCATTATTGTCCCAAAGACGTACAGTTTATTCTATAAGAGTTTTTATTTGCACTGTATGCGTGTAGTCTGTGTATGTAAGAGTTGAGGTAACAATATTTCGATTGCATTCCCGACTGAAAACTTGCAGTGTATTTGATGTATTGATGTTTAAGGAAATACGATATTCTGTTAACTTGATCAGCAGTATTCTAGGTACAAGTTAAAACCTTAATTCTCACCACCGCCTACCAATAAGTATAAAATGATGATCTGGTTAACAGAATATAGTCATTGCCAAACTACCTATTATCAAGTGCCTGTGATCAAGTGCCTGTTACCATTAATACAGGTGTATTTTTGCATCCAAATGTACGTTAAAATTTTATAATCAGGGTTATTGGGGTTAATAAATTGCTAGTATTTAAGGTTCTGAACAACAACAGATAAAGCAAGTAACAATTTTGTTGTAGTTAGCTTTCATTTTAGATACATCATATTATAATGTTTATACTGGTATATACAGTTTGCTATGATTAAAGTTCAAATTCACCGATAAACTATAAGTCATAAGCTTACTACACACACGCCTTAGAAGTAAATTTGTCTTATTTTGTATTCATAATAGAGTAAATTAATAAGACTGTAATGTACAAGGATTAAGCAGAAAAAATTACTTAAAAACAAAAGAAATATAATCGGATAGTCCATTAATATTGTTGCCTTTGTACATTAGATATGTGATATAATAACAATATAAATACGGATTCAACATGTTTCCAAGAAATCATGTACGCACGCGTTATTATTGGATCCGTATAAAAAAAAAATATAACAAAGTAAAAGGTTATTTGAGCATGAATAAAATAGAATAGAGCATTCCCCAGTATAGTGGTATGGAATTTATTGCTTTCTAAATAAAATTAACCCATTTTTCAGTTTGATTTTATTGAAAATCTTTTTCCATACTTTAACTTTCGTGTCCATTATAATCATACGTATAAAATAATGAGATTAAATTATATTGAGCCGGTATGCTTTGGTAAGTAATTATAAGACAACATAAATTATATTTGCTACAATTTTCGCTGCTGCTGACTGAATAATAAAATTAAAATTGAATTTTCTTTCCATTGGTCTCGGCATCTACATTATAATGTTCTTTTCAATCACTGAGATCATAGCAGAACATTAGAAAGTTCCAGAAGCTTTCACAGCTAAATATATTAGCTGAAAAATTCTTAGGTGATTAAGTTTTTATCTCCTGTTTGTAATTAGATATTTGGCATTGGTTTTGGGCAAATTATTTGCTTGTAAATCCTCAGAGGTAAAGGACGTAGAACGTGATAAGCAGAACCACAGCGTATATTATTATAGTTGTTATCGTTATTACTACCGTATTGAATTCAGACTAAAAGGTTAACGCACAGCAGTTATAGTAACGTTAATAAATATCGAATAAAACAGTCGATAAATAATTTTAATCTTTTAAAAATTACTCCTTGATACTTGATACAGATTACGATTAGTGTTATTATAAGGGAATAAATACCTCATGATAATATGTTATCGAATATAATATAGTGATCAATCTTATTATGCAAAAACATAATTAGAGAAGTTTTAATTAATACTTATGTAGACTAGAGATAGTTTCCTATCGTCTGCATAGCATTAAAGCGTATTTTATTTAGTATCTTAGGTGTTTATTACACTTTGTATTTTAAAACTAACTGGTTTAACTTAACATTTGAAACTGTTGATCGATTTTATATCTCTTATTGTAAAGTTTTGCAATATGTCGTTTAGATGTTTTTTACCTTTTTTAAATCTATGAATAAATTATTAAAATTATATAATATTGGATACTGTAATAAACACTTAGACTAAAAGCAACTACCTAATTATGTTTTTACCAACATTTTATACTTTACAAACCCAATACACGAATAACCGATACACAATTCTATATTTAGGTTCTCAAATGTGTCTGCATTGATTGTATGTATGTATTTAATTTAGAAAGCGTTATTTAATCGAGCCGAATAGGTTATCAGGTTGCATTTAATGTTTTTAGAAATAACATTTGTATATATTACATTTGTCTAAATGGGTTACATTTAGATTATTATTACTAGGTTATCAAAAATAATATTTAAAGAGATAAATAGACTTGCCAAAAGTAATATGAAATGTGCATCATGAAATCGTATTAAGTAAATATTGTGTACTGCCACCGTAATGTCTAAATAATTTGGGTAAACAGAAAACAATCGTAGAGGTTGCTACTAAACTGGCGATAAACAAAGTTATAACGCCTTAAACAAATAAATCTATTAAAAAATAAAAATATGAATTCATGAAAATTAACAATGTTCTTTTCTGGCGATTGAATATATGCATTGTTCTATATTATGATGGCATCTCGTATCTCTTTGTATCATTGACCCCTGTTTATAGGTCAATGCTTTGTGTGTATTTCTAGGACAGGCCTTACACAACTCATAATTATGCATGCTCATAATATTGATAGCGTGGGGCCCTCCTAATATTTGATAATGATAGGGTTACACTTTGTGATAAGTACTACATATATAAAAAAAATATATTATGACAACATTTTGCATGTTTCAAGGAATAACGGCGAAACATTAGAGGATAACTAAATTTTGCATGAACCTCACTTGTCAACCAACCAGAAAAGTATAAAACTAAAAGGGGAATATACCTTTGCTTGTTGTAAACCGTTTTTGGTGATATTTTTTAATCCCCTGTTGGTTGCTTACTATCTTGGTCTTAATGTACGATTGTTCTACATATTTAACAAATGCAAATAAAAGTAATGTGAATATGTATTTGATAAGACTATTAGATTTAAGTAAATTACTGCATGCTTACTTTAGTTTTAAAAACAACAATTTCAAGATATCCTCAATGAAAATATAAGAATTTTATATACAAATAATATATAGGTTCATGTAAAAATCTAACTTTCAACTAATTTTACCGAAATATAATTTCTCTATTCCATTTATTCATTATAAAATATACTTTTAATTGAAATACTTATTATTAATATTATGTACTTCGATACATTTTATCATAAGTTAAATAAATATGATCATCACCAATTTTTCGTTTCGTAACTTTTATTAAATGACTAATTTGCGTATGTTTGATGCTTAAGTTTTTTGTCTTCAAAAGACTAAGTACTTATATTTATTTAACGTTTTCAATTAAATATATTTTATAAACTGTTTAATTGGTTATATCCTTAATTATATAAACTAAAAAAATATATAAATTTCATTATTTATCTAAATTATTAACTTTTTGGTATAATACAGAAACAAATGTTACATCCATAGCTTTTTGTTATTTAAATGTAGCTATGTAGACATACATGTGTCTACGTGCAATGCACTCCATTTCTATTTAAATAGAATGTTAGTTTAAAAGGAATTGTTTATTAAGCTATTGTTACTAAATATATCAAAGTTCCTAAGTTATAAATATAACAATACAATACAAAAATGTCTTTTAATTCTTGTACCTAAAAATATTTATTTATTTATTTATTTAATACTTTATTGTACACATTAGTTATAAAAATATGACAGAGGTAAACAAAAGTACAAAGGCGAGCTTAACTCTGATAGAGTTTTCTTCCAGCAAACCCAAAGTGGAAAGGAGCATCAATGTCAGCGGATACAGCAGTGTACAATTTTTAAATAGCCAAAATTAAATTAATTAGATTATATTATATAGTACAAATACACACATACATATACATAAATATATACCGACATCTATGCATAAACCTACATATACATACACATATACATACAATATACCTACACATATAGATAAATAAATATATGTTCATAGAGATAGAAGATGCTCTTTAAGTCTACTCTTAAAAATATTTAGGGATTGACTCTCACGGATAGATATGGGAAGAGAATTCCACAATCTAGCAGCATGGACGGTAAAAGATCCACTATAGCGCGTAGATGAGTGTGAAGGGAGTTTGAGGATAAGAGATTTCGTCGAACGGGAGGACACGTCATACCTACCTACATAACAAATAGGTAGGTACTTAATATCGGTTAACTTAGATGTTCATGATGACTAACAAAGTTACCACGTCTTCGTCAACATTGTCATCGTAACATATGAAAGAAGCTTTTAAAAGGCCTATAAAATCTTCGCCTATAAGTAGTCTCCGCTTTGTAAGGAGATAGATGAATCGCATACCCATTTTTACCGTAAGTATATCTAGCTAAGTAAAAACCGTATGGCTTCTAATTATAATTTTATCGAAGCGGACTAGCAGCTTCTTTGCTAACAATATTAGGTGGACATATGACTAGCAATGAGTCAGGTCGACTTCCTCGTGAAAACCTTTGTTTTTAATTCTTGTTGAATTGGTCATGATGAGGCAACTGACCTGACTTGAACTTCTATCATCCTTCATAAATACCTTAAATTATACAGATAGAGTGTCTTCATACAAATGCTTAAAAAAAACGAGTAAATTTTTTTATACACTGTTGTACGTGACAGTATTACTAGAATAGAAACTATTACTTTAGATTAAGGTAAATAGTTGAAGATCGTAAGTTGAATGATTATTAGAATTAAATGACCCTTTATAATATTTATTTATTAAGAATAATGCGTAGATAACGAATAAGAATGCGGCAGATAGAACTTCACAATTCTTTCATATTGCTTTAAAAAATAGTAAAATATTGAAGTGAGGGTTGTAAATCGATATTTGTACATATATGTATACTATAAATATGGATGGATAATATTACTAAAAGTAACTACCATTTTAAATACTTTTTATTAATCGATTTCTTTGAATACGAATATTTCAGAATCTTGGTAGAGTAAAAATATGTATTAATGTTAGAATTAATCGAAGTGGGATCCAATAGTAATAATAATAAGGTTTAATTTTATGTGGCTTTTTGAAAATACCTACCCATGAAGGAGGAATGAAGAATATAAATTATTTAATTGTAATTAAAATGACTAATCCTGTGTAGTCCATCAAAAAATAGGCCACTCTTTCTTTTCCCGTGGCTGTCGAAAAAGGCGACTAAGGGAGGGTGAGAGATAGGCAGCAGCGTCCCTCTTAAATTATCTTTAAAGTTTAATTATGGTTGCCAATCCGCCTGCCAAGCGTGGCAACTACTGGCAAAGTCCCCCAAGGGGGAGACTTATGTTCAGCAGTGGACAGTTAAAGGCTGATACAATACGATGATACGAAGTTGACTAAATTATTAATCCGTATCCAAACAAGTACTTTTATCACTTAAAATAAAAATGGCGGCCATTTTAATTAATTCTGACACCAAATCAATCTTTGAAGTGTATAAGGATCACACGATATCGATTTTTAATGCAATCAGTCTAATAACACAGAAAATAAAAATGGCGGTCATTTTTATTATTTCTGATACCGAATTCATATTTAAAGTGTAAGTGGATTTCAGATTTTGATTTTGAAAGCAGTCAGTCAAATAATAAAGATCCTTTGGGTTCAATATATGCGGTTGAATTTAAAATCTTCTTTTTAATGGTGACTGTTTTATTAATAATTCAAGTAATTGTGTCGTAACAGTTTACTGTAATTTAATATGAATAACATTAAATAGTGTGCATCATCATCATTACCATATCAGCTTTTAACTGTTCACTACTGAACATAAGCCTCCCCCTCAGGGGGTTTTGCCAGTAATTGCCATACTTGGCAGGCAAATTGGCAACCGCAATCAAGGTTTTAGAGATGTTTTAAGAGGGACGCTGCTTCCCATCCCTCGCTCTCCCTTACGATTCTTACGAAACTCACGAAAAATAGCCTGCATAATACTTAATAATATTTCTATGCACATACCTACATAAAAAATATATTATGTAAAAAAATAGCACAAAATACAAATAATAATTAAAAATAATTCTATTCTTATAGAAAAAGTCCATTTCATTTTGGAAATTTTTATTCAATCATAGGGTTTTTTCGGATACATGCAACATTATAAAATGGCGCGAATGCTTTAAAAAAAATATATAAATAATTATAATTGTATTTTTGCTTAAAATTAAAAATACCGGTTATAAGTAATTTCTTTATTAGTTCTATTTTTCGTCTTATAATTTTTGCTTCTTTTTAGTGTGCAAAAACTCATTTTAAGTAAATATAGACACGTTAAAATACGTTATAAGTATTTAGAACAGTAATAAAAAAAAAGCGGATCGGCCATTTTGAAAATTAGCTGACAAAAAATTTACTCGTTTTTAAGTTTCGTCTATTCATATAATCTTAAATATATACATATAATTTACGCAAGCGAGCAACCTAAATTAATAGAGCAGGCCCCATTAGATGGGCATATCGAAGTTTGGGCCATGAATGAACCAAACCGGAATAATAGTGAACCGGAATTAGATAGCGTCCCTCTATTATTATCCATTAAAAATAAAACTACTAAAAGAAAGCAATTTTAAATTCGAGGGGTTGACGGAAATCCTTTGTTATTAACGGGAATTAGCAGCTCATGCTAACAATAGCTGTGCCCTGTTAGGTTGACCTCCTCACTTTCGAAACTATCATAGTTAATTCTGGATGAATTCGTCATGATAGGCCAACTGATCTACCTCCATCCTCACTGATACCACACCAGTGCATACCTACCAAATACTACCAACAGCGCAGACAAGCATATTCTATAAAAAGCTACTAAGAGGAGGCTATTTATAAACCTGAGGGATTTAAAGCGCCACTTTAAACGAATCAAAATAAGATTATTTCGTACACCCTGCTAAGTTTAATAGGTACTTCGCGTTGATGGAGTAATAGGTCAACATCAAAAACATAAACTGTAAAAAAAGCCAAGTCTTGCAACACAGTTCTTTCACTACAAAAATGTAGTGAGAACATTTTTTTATCCAACTTAGAATGGCAAACAAGCTGACGGCCCATCTGATAGAAAGTGGTAACCGTCGCCTATAGACATGAGCAGTACCATGGACATAACAGAGTGTACTGTTTCGCCCATGATACCCCCATGCGTTGCCATTCCTGAGGACTCAGGTGTTATTCCTCTGTACCCTGTAAATTCACGCCATATCCCGCCCGTCAAAGCATGTAAAGACTTTCAGTTATTTAAGTGTATATGGAAACACCTATTCAACAATTTGTCATAAATTGTTATTTAATCAATTACCTGTCAACATTTATAGTGGCCACATCATTATTAGACATTACTCTTATACTAGGCTCTCTGGTTTTATTTATAACGTTTACAAATAACATGACTACTTAAGTACTGATTTATTGTTAGGTTAGGAAACTTAACACGCCACTTCCGAGTTCTAAGTATGCAGGTATCCTAACACGCCTTACTTATTAAATACGAGTAACTTATTGTAATTTTGTATCTTGTTATTTATAAATAAATAATTAATTATGAATTGATAATGATTTAAGACATAGCTAAAACTGACATTGCAGAAATTTTATTATAAAACTATTTATTAATTAATTTTACAATATGAATATAAATAATTATAAACTACAGAATATATTAAATAACTATATAATACTAATAACAATTACGATATGAATAGACTAATACTGTATACGTTTTTATAATAAACTTCCAGATGACGTTTTGCATTTAAATGAAAGAAAATTTAAGATATATATAAAAAGGACTCTCTGTACAAAAGCATATTATAAAATAAATGACAATCTAAATGACAAAACTGCATGGATTTGAATATTGTATTAATGTGAATTGTATTGTGAATGTAATTATTGTAACTTTTTTAAAATAATATTATTTTATATAGTAATTATTTTTTTTTGATTGATTGACTTAAATAATGAATAATAATAATAAGAAAATACGTACCTATCGTGATACAATTTCAATGACAAGATAATATTGTAACAGATCCATAGAATATTTCTAAAATGAAAAAAGTGTTGTCCTCCTTTCTCCTACTTGCTGTGCCCAACAGGGTCCATAATTGAAATGTTATCTACTAAGTATATTATGGAATGCAATAAGAAATAAAATAAATAAAATATATAATAAAAAGCGCAGATGTAAGGTAAGTATCAACTGGGGACTCAATGAAACAAGGTGTGACTGGAAATCATTAAACGTATATTATAACAGTTCATGCTGCTACAAAGAGCCGACTGCGAACTTAACAAATTAATCAACTTACTTCGGATTTATACAGATGCTCATTCCGACCTATTGTATTAAACAATAATCACACGGATGAGTCTTGTTATCTATAATTATTAAAAATTTATTATATATATATATATATATATATATATATATATATATATATATATATATATATATATATAATTTAAAGCACGGTAACACTATGAAGTTATACAATCTGTAATGCGGCGAGGTACTTTTTTATTGTTATTACATAAATACATTAATAAGAATGCAGTGAACTGCTACAATCTTAATTTATTTAAAAATATATACATCAAAAGCACTTTAATCATTCATTGTCTTCTGTTGAACATAGACTACCCTATATAAATTACCACGCAGAACAATTATCAGAAAATAACATATCAGAAAATACAAAACAACAATTACTCAAATTTAATAAATATTAGTGAGCTTTTATAACGCGCCATGATTTTACGATCATTTAGGCTGCAAGAAAAAAGTGTTCAGTTAAATTCTTGGATTTTTTTTTCTTAGAATAGCAAATAAGCTAACAGCCCTCCTAATAGATAGTTTTCAAGTTAAATTCAACTGTAAGCTAATAATAATAATAAAATATAAAATCAATAATCAGAACTCGCATACTAACCTGTAGCAATAACACTTGAACCAACTCCAATAATGCTCTAAAATACACATGAAAGGAAAATAAATCACATTCTGGACAATTTAAAGAGCATGATATACGGCTGTCAGTACTACATAAAAAGATTCATGTATGTACAACGACAAATGTTATAATAGAATGTTTGTATTTAAATTAAGTACAAAAACTATTTATAAACCAAGCCCAATAAAGAATCATAGGCTTGATATGCAGGAATTAGCATACAGTATGCTTCTAAATTACTATTGGTCATTTGTATTGTGAATAAAAGCTTTATATTGTTTCAATTATTTTATATTATTTCTTTTCATTAGAGATAATGATTATGTGAGTGACGATTTTAATTAGATTTGTTTCAATGTAAGTACCGAATTGCTAAAGAAAATTTGACATTTTGTGTCGTACTTTTTTTATTATATTAAATTTAAATTTGCCTTGGCACGCATTCATGAAGTTTCGTTTAAATTTGGTAAATAAAGTCATTAATCTACAGTTATCGTAAAATAAGGGTATGAGTGTTAACCGTGAGGGTGTTCTATGTTCAACACCAAAGTAATACTTGTTGTTGATACTCCTTCTGTATAACCAGTGCCATTACATAATTCTGATGAGTTAAACAATAAAATCTTAAATTTACTTTTACAAAATGGGGTTTTTATAAATTAAGTAAATACAATGTGAAGAATGAGAAATACGATTATGAATGAGAATATACATATTCTTGTGTTATTAAAGATAAATTGCTAATTATATGGTGTAACCATTATTATTCTTCCGAAAACTACCTAAGAACTTTGCTCGTCCTTCACACGGTAACATGGACCATGGACCTATATATTTTTGTAGAAGTCATACTGCGAAAGCAATTAAAAAATCTTTGAAGTTGTCATTACATATCTATTGCAAATACACACGTTTAACATTAGGGCTTTTCCATACTGTCACAATTCTTACAGCACGCGGTGCGGCATCATCACTGTCACAGTATGACATTGAAATACCCCTAATAGTTAAAGTCACAACACACTCGTGTTATTGCAACTATTGAAACAGAATCATTTGGGTTAGCAGTAAAAAATTACTAGGTATTATTTAGTTGAATTTTTAATAAACTACTTATTTGTGTTAGTGTTTAAAGAAAAGCAATAACAAAATTAACTTGATAGTTATAAGTACCATTATTTATCGATACAAAATAAATTTATAACCTATTACATATTATTACAGACGGTAGATGACTAAAAATTAACCGTTTAATTATATAGTATTAAGTATATACAGAAAGCATGCAATGAACAAAATAGTGCCAATCCGTATGTTATAAAAGTACACATAATTATTGCCAAGTTATATTAACACGTCACTATCGATTTATTGCGTATGACCAGATCTATGTATAATATGTTTATTGTTTCCAACATTTCTATATCCAAGTCTATTCCTCTTTACAATAAAGACAATTTCAATATATTACACGTGTATGACTGATCAAGTAAATAATTAAAATTAATTTTATTTACAACAGCAATGAGTACAAAGTATACATTAACAGAATTCGTGCAGGCACTATTCTCACTGTAGTTCTAACATGAATATTGGAAGTTTAGATTTTATACTTCTTATAATAGACCTAATAAATATGCCTATCTCTTACAAAGTACAGAAATCATTGCTATAAACGTATAAGGCCGAAATATTAAGGCGAGATCATTCGAGAGCAAATTCAAACTTCGGAGCGTTTATTACATTTAACATTAAAGACAATGAAAACACTCTATATTAATTTAATATATTTGTAATTAATTATTTAAAATATAATTCAAACATATATTCAGATTCAGCTTTATATATGAGATATTATAAATAATACATATATACCAAATCTTATCAACAAGAATTTAGCTAGCTCCCAAAACACCTCGCCTTAACAGAGTGTGATGTATTGTAAAATATGAGTAAAACGCTTTTATAAATTTACTGTAACAACAAAGACCGATTTCACTGGTGTAATATAAAATAAGAAATAAGCAAAATGTATACAATTGTATGCAGATGCTCTTGATTTTCCGTGCTAAATTTTATATGATTCTAGTGAATATGCAGGGAAATTTAAAAAAAAAACCTTCATTCTTTATACAATTTCATACATTTTAACAAAATGGTAAAATCGTGCCTGACTGTGCCCCAATATGTGGTGCTACGATAAATTATAAAAACGTCGTAAAAATAAATGTATCTAATTAAAGTTTATCGTGCGGAGCACATCCATATTAAGGCCTGTACAAACGATAGACAATTTTAAACAGAGATTATATCCAACATAAAAACACTGAATTGCATACTATATGCTTATAAGGTATTCTTGTAAGTATGCGATTTAAAAGAAAGTCTTTTCCTGACAGACAAAATTTTGTTCTAAAATTCGTTTGCGCAGGCCCTTACAGTCCCATCCACAGAATGAGAGTATAGTACCATTATTGACTTCTACTCTACTAATTACACCAATACCTTCTCTAAATCATCATCTATTCAGTACCAATACTAATAGTAAATTTACAATTTCATAATTTGACATCTATTGATCTTTTGTTATATTTATTAAATCTTATTGACCAACATTAGTGTCAAATGCGAATATTTAAATGAAATTAATGACTTATGATATAAATATAATAAATGAACTTCCGAAAAACAAATTAAGGTCAAACTTCTGCGCTTTTACTATTAAAAGAAATGTATATTCGAATAAATTATGCTGTGATCCTACAGTTTGGCTGCACTTAAATATTTTATCAATTTATATGTATAATTGTCAAAATCAGAAAAATTTAATAATAATAATATATAAATATAATTATATGCACGTTGTTATAATCATTTACGGCAAATTTAGTATTGAAACCAGAGCATTTGCATTAGGGTCGTAAGGTCATTTAATGTAATCGAATTAAACCTTATAATATTTACACAAGGTTTAGTTTGATCAGGTTCTGTTCGCAGCATAATCATAGGCGCGCACGTAATAAGAGCACTGATTGCTTATGACTCGCTTTTCAAGACGATATCAACTTTATTATGCCTTTATTAAAAACCTTTTTAAGTTAACCATACATAACATCATTCCCAAATTGTTACACCAATATTTACTATTAATATATATTGCTTCTCTTCTTTCGTGCTTAAAAAAACATATTTTTTTTTTATATTCTATTATAAAGAGAAATATTACAAATACAGAATGGTGCGGTTAGTCCAAATAATCGATGAACATATAACTAATTGCTAAGAAATATCGTGAAATTTTCATCTACTTTTATTGCAGACTACATGCAAAATCGAATTCAGTCTATTAAATACGTAGGCAGTAACAAAGTAAAAATAAAATGGACGGATAACTAGAACAAATATAGAAGTACAGTATAAATTATAATAATAATATTATGGAGTGCCCTATACCAGAAACCGAAAGCTCTACATTATCATTACAAAACATAGTATAAATAAACAGTAAATGTTAAATTAAATGTGATGTATTAAACCAGCATAAATGATGTTGATAAGGCGCTAACTTACTTTACAATATCAACACGCATCTAAATACTGTGTGGTGTTATAAAATTGAGGCCCTTGTCAATATAATAATTGTTGTCGAAGCACTATTTCATGGACTACGAACTTTTGAGCATTTTATAATTTTGATATCGTTACCATCGCTTTCATAAATAATATTCCAATCGATGTTGTTATTTTTGAGTGCATGACAAAATTGTATAATAGTTCTAACTTCACCTATAACCTATATTTTATTTATAAATAAAAAATATTACCCTTAATTTGTATTACAGCTCCCACACTAAAATATCATTAAGCATTTATGAAACACAAAATTTTAAAATAAACCACGCAATGACTTACCACACATACCCTTAATTTCAAAATGGCACAACTTGTTTTGAACATAAATTTGGACGACTGTCATGATTAATTTTGCAAGATATAATATTTTTATCAAATATTAAATGAATTTAATTAAATTCATTGCATAGCGCAATAAAAACATTGTGCCCTCACGATAAATAAACTGCGAATTTATTACTCATTTACATTCAACAAAATATAAATTGCTTTGTATGTATAACATTAATAATTTAATGCTTTACTTCAGTAAATACATAATTTAATAAATATTGCTTTCACTACCAGATTCAATTTTTTTATTGGCCTATGTGCCCAATATAATTAAAAAAATATACCTAAAAAATAGATGCAGAAATATATTGCAGAATTATAACGTTATTTTGTAATTTAAAATCCTTGTCTCTGAATTAAACTCTACACTTATATGACAAAAACTAGATTTTGTAAATAATACCTTTAAATAGCAGAATAATGTAAACTTTCATCATCAGTCATCTGTATCAACTCTTTGAAATATAGTTTAATAGTTGTATTTCGACCTCTAAGCTCAGATACATAAACTTATGGAACGGTAAATGCACTTCATTGGATGAACGCACACAATTTATACATTATGTTAAAATTATGTTATTGTAGATCAAAATAAAGGTGCTAAAAAAGTAAAATTTTAACCACTAATTAATTTGTCTGTCTTAGGTAAATATCTAACAAAGAATAATATTATAAAGCTGGAGACTAATTAATTATTATTCAGGCATTATTGCAAACGATACACTTGACATTTTTTCTGTAGCTTTTAAAAAATCTTATTAACAATTCCTTACATAGGTGCATCTCACATAGCTATATCTACCAAACTGATGTACATATACATTTTTATTAATTTCTCTCTTGACTAATATTTGCTATACTAATGTGGACTTTCGACATTTTTTTATATATCTACTACGAAGGTGCTTAAGCACAGTATAGTAAGCAGTTACCGTCAAATATGAATGCCAGCAACATTAGGTTAGTATTCCTTTTTTGAATATTCTAAAATTAAAGTTTATATCTCAAAGACGTTTATTGATACTACGCCTGTCATAAAGTTAAGATAAAATTTAAAAAAGAAGCTATATATTTACTGGTAGAAAACAAAATAAAGATTGACAGCGAACATCATATTGAATATTTTACATTAAAAAAATATATGATGAATATCATAATGTATCAAGCACCTACACGAAAACAATGCTGGCAATTGTTTTACTTTAAAAGTACTTTAGTTAAGATATATGTATATACAACACATTGACACGTTACACATCTTATGTCTAATTTCTCACTTAACAGTTTAACTGACATTATTGCAATTCTCACTGTATGTTCAGTATTAAAGAACATCAAAGTGTAATAAACACTTTAGTCAGGCTTACGCGACCTTCATTTGGTGGTAATTAATTCTACTCTAATAGCATAAAATAATAAAACCAATGTACCGCATGTTAATATTGCAGTATTTCTTAGTTATAACAAGGTTCCATTATCATAACATTAATGCAAACAACTAGCAAGCAACTAAATTTCTATTTCAAGAATTGTAATGTATAATGAAACATTTAAATTTTGAATACCTGTAGGCAAAAAAGACGTGAATATTACCATGCTTTCAAGATTCTTTATGAGATTCATATTTTTTTTTTCATAAAATAGACTTAATTCATCAATGAAATTTATCGCATTATTATTATCACCTCTAATATTATATTTGATGCTAGCTTTTCACACACTCCGACTACTGGGTAACAGGCAGTAGATGTGTGAAAGCTCCCATAGATGCCCCTATTAACTACCCTTCGTTGTCGGAACGTGTGAGAAGGCACGAAAAGTCAATCTCTTTTATCACTCACATTTCAAGTATTCGATTTAAAGTTTACCTTGTTTTTAAGATTCCCAACATCGTGAACTCCTGTCTCATATTGAATTATTATGACATAATTACTGGTTTATAATTTTTATTACATATGTAATCATAATATAAAAGTAAAGTATTGATGGAAACTAAAATTGGAAACGAGTTAAAACTTATAGACAATATTCCCCTACAAAATGTAATAAAAAAATTAATTGTGTCATAATAAATTAAATATTATTTAAAATAATCATAAACACAACATACAAATCGTAGTTAACGAAATCATTTACGTTTAACTACAAGTATCACTGACAATTTAGAAATTAGTGTAAAGTGCATTCTATTTTCAAAAGGTATCTTTTATTCTTAAAAAAAAATATATCGCATATTATATGAATGATGAAGAAGATAATAACTAATACTCTTGTATAGAATCGGCGGACAGTCGTCATATTTTTTATTACTACATAATAAATACACACCATATCATTATAGAGAAGTTCTATGTATCAAAAGCTACAAACTACATGATTTTGAATTTTTTTTTATTTTTGCGTACGTTACTTTAGTCGCTACTAATATAATTTGATAATTCAAAAAGTTACAGTGTATCTGTGCGCCTTTTATTAATTGTTCTTTAATAACAACTGATCTTGAAACGACATTTTATTTCTAATGTGTGTAATATATTCTGAACTCCTCCATTAACGAATGGCTGATATAGAAAATAACTTTACGAAAATACTTCTTACAACCACGTTATATAAATTTATTAAATAAACACATTACTTGGCGTTCGCAAAATAAAATCCTTCATATCGTAATCTGGCAATGTCTACTTTATGTGCCACTTTCCGAAGATATTTTTATTATTACTGAATAGTTATACAGATTTTTTTTATTTGTATTAAAACACTGTTTATAACAAGTTGCATATAAAATTGTTTTATTTTATTTAAAAAAAAAAAAACAGTAATCGTTTAGAAATCTTACTACATAATTAAGGTTATTGTCCACCATAGGACGACTTTTTAAATTATCATTAACTATGTGTATAATTATTTGTATTTGGACAACTCTAACACAGACTATGTCGGTCTTGCGGTATAAACTCAATTTAAACACACACAATATTGTGTTTAACGTTAACATTCCTGAAGTTGTTATATTGCGCTTTTAATTAGTGGATACGGTTCCAAGGCACGTATTTTTTTATGTTTAACTTTTAAATAAGCTTTATATTTTGCCTTTGAAATATTTATATATTACGGATATTAATTTTATATATATTATAAAAAATAATATGACAATGTAAAAATGCATGCATTAAATAAATATATCTTATACGCTAATAACAGAAAAAGGAAGGATAAAAATCTAATTTTAAAGCCGGCGCAAGTTATAAAAAGTCTTTTCGTATGCTGTCCAGTGAGCAATAAGTCTTAAAATGCAGAAATAATTAATCGTATTAGAACATGCGTTCTAATAAGTCTAGATCAGAAAGATGTAAATAACAATATACATAAATTCTTAAGCTAATAGATGTTATACTCTATATAATTATAGACTTATGTACATTGAAACACAAGTTCAGATGGCATCGAATAGAGTACTTTGAGGATCAAATGTTGAAGCGACTTTTAATCACATATAATGTAATATTTAGTATGGAATAAGTTCGTTGTATCGAAAAATTAATTGTTTCACCAGTTAGAGAATTGACAATGACAAATATCCTCTTAGGAAGAACACAGGAATATCAAGCATAGACGACTTTATCTCTTCTTTGCCAATCACATGCAATTATCTTGTGACCTATATATATGCCTACATCAATAAAATACAACTAGTCAAATATAACTAACTGGCCATATCATCAATTAACAGACTCGACTGCCAAGCAGCTTGAATTTACACCTTTGTAATGTGACTATGTAACTACTTCAGATCGTACAATTCCGAATGAGATTCAATGTACCTTTGAGTTATAATCCTACCGGAGTCCACTACTGGCGTTAGTAATTCTTCGGAGGGAACTTGTATTCTGATGCGGTTGTCCGATGGGAGATTATTAGCTCCATTGCTTGTGTAGAAACCTAAAGACATTGGTTTGTGATGATCCTCTGAATACGCCTTGTATTTCGATGGGCTGACTGGATGCAAATGCGAAGGACTAGCAGCCAGCGGATTGTATGTGACGTGGATGCGGACCACATCATCAGAGAGTGGCGAGATAGATGGCGGGTGTGGCGTCGCTCGCGGGGTCGAGTGGGTTGTAGAGGGCGCTCTTTGTATACTTAACGCGCATATACCCGAGCTGCGAAATTATCAAATTTATTTAAATAACTAACATTTTACATGATTATTTAAATATTTAGACATTTGAATACACAATATTGGGAATCATTAAGAGCGTTCATACTACAATATCAATATAATCATAGAATATATTGCATATAAATCTTGTCACTAAGGAATTTGTCTATGTTTCTTACTTTGTATCGAATTTCTTCAAATACCTTTTTGTCATCAAACTCCAAATTTTTTATACCAGTTTAATACGAGTCTAATTGCGTGATTAACGTTTTAGTTCACTATCACACCGCTTATTATATAATCAATAAAAAAAATATTGAAATTCGATCAATTGTTTTTAAAAATAATTCCAACATTGTTACACTTCCGAAGTGTCTATATGAATGCCCTTAAGATTCACACAAACTGAAGCTAATCCTGCAAGTTGTACATAAATGATGGCGTGAAAGCACAAAGGTTCTAATAGAAAGATAACGGTAATATAAACTACTCAACAGATAAAACAATTGCAATAATTAATTTCTAGCGATTAGGCAAGATTTGCTTCAATTTGGACAAAAATGAAGCTCTATTCTATGTTAGCGAAGAAATCCAAATATACTTTTGCCAGTATAACCTAGCATATCATACTATATTATATAGGTATGAAGTCAAATAAATAATGTAAATCGCATTTATTTAGATTTCTATAAGGATTACGCAAAAATTTTAATTATTAAGCACTGTAACCTTTATAACAACATTTTATCTAATGTTACATTGCACATAGGATAGATCCCAATAAAATTAATAAAATTTGCTTAGATCAAGCCAAAAATAAAATGTCCAAACCAATAAAATTGTAAGCATATATAGGTATATGAGATAAATATACGTTTGATACGGGGAATAATAGAAGACATTTAATAGTAAATTTAGTCCAATCACAAACTACCCAGAAATTTCGAAAAATTGTTGTAATAATTCGCTTGTTGCATAGGTTTAGGTATATTGAATATGGTATTAAGTTTAAAATTTTATCATGATTTATTTTATGATCAGCGGAGGGCAGACTTGTGATTAAAATGTGAAATCACGAAATTTAAACCATTTATTGGGTAGATAATGATGAAGTGTAGCATAGAGTACATAATCCAGTATAGCTCACCGGGAAGACTTCCCAGGAGTTATGAATGGTGTCAGCCTGTAAAATTTCAACTCTTTGAAAATGTTGAATTATAGGTCGCCTGTATAAAATTATATTGTACATAACATTTTGTATATACCATACCTCCGTGATCTCTTTATTTATGCCTCAAATAAATTGCACCGGCAACCTTGATTAAAAACTTACTACTTTATAAATAATCTAATAGAATAAAAACGAATATAAGTAAATTGAATAAACTAAATATCATTCACATGTATATATACTGTTGTAAACTTGCATATATTTCTATGTATATATACTTATTATACTTTTATATAAATATAATAATTTTAAATAAACGTAATTTTCTGCGCTCCGCCGCTTTAAATAAAATTTACTCTTAGTTGGACGATCTAACCCAATCCAAAATATTCGTCCACAATATCATGCGCCCAAAACTTACATCTACAAAAAAATCTCACCCATCTGACCCAGTGGCGTCGTCGCTGACGTTGCTGTGTGTGTCGAGTGAATTGTCTGGTGCATGGGAGCGACTACTGGAGAACACGCTCAGGTCGGCCGTACTCGTGACGCTCGTCTCCGCCAGCGAGCGGCGCGAACCCAGCCCCGACACTGAATCGTCACACCGCGCACCGCTGCCCGCTACGCCGCTGTGTTCTGTACGTACACATACACATACATCACAATCATTGTTAGAGAACCTATCATTACTTTCCAATTTTCTTTTTTTAAATGCAAGCCCTTGAACCAGTAGAGACAGATCATTATTTTTTATAAAATCCAAAAAAATATGACTACATATCGCCTTGAAAAAGCAGGTGAAAAATAGGGAGTAACATGCAATACTGTGTAATAACTAAATAGTTACTTACCTTGTTCATTTTAACAAATAATCACAAGCGAGCAAACCGTGATTGCACCACGTAACGCACATGCAACTCTAATGAGACATGAATAAAAATCTCTGCTCAAACCTGATATAGAAAAGAAAACGCCACATACGATATTACAGAATGAGGATATATATATTTTTATACTTATATCAGTAGAGGATATGCAAATCAACAAAATTATAATTACTTTCGTCTTCAGTGCTTCCCTTTCCTAGTCCGCCTGGAGTTAATTAAGTAATTTTTAGTTCCAGGGCTTTCATAGGCATGGTAAGGAACAGGAATGGTCTTCGAGTGAATATCCACTGAGGCAGAGGAGTTATGGAGTGGAATGCCATAGGAAATATTCTCATCTGAAGTAAAAACCATTTATATTATGCATTATTTTTAAAACCTATAAATTATGAAAATTTATAAATTGAAAAGTTCGTTCGTGTGCGAACTGTTGAAAATATATAAAGTGTTCTCGTGTTTAGAAAATATTAGTTATCATTACGACATTGTCATGAATAAAAAGTATGCAAATGATTTGGAATGGATAGTAAATTATTCCAATTTAAACTAAAGCTACACCGCATGATTACTGTGCGCTGTGACTACGTATTGCACTGCAGGTGACATCTAACAACTATAACGTACCATACATGTCAGTTTTGGATATGTATTTGTTGATATTTATTTATTTTGGTGTTCCTCATACCACAACGGGCGGCAATACTAAAAAAAATAAAATTATAATAAGATTATGCACTCTTTTTCGGCATAACATCTTATTACAATAATTTGTTTGTATAAAATGCGTGATATAAATGCAACGAGATATTAAGAAAATGCCCAAGTAATTATGTAATGTGATTTATTATTAATTCAGTATTTCACTTTTTTAAAGGTACGCAATGATACCTCTTAAAACTAAAATGAAACTAAACAATAATAAATAATACAGAAACTATTGATTACGAAAACAAAACAGATGATGAAGGTGGGTTTATGTGATAAAAAAAATCACAAAAATCAAGTGTTGAGCAGAGATTCACTTAAAGCAACATACAGTTTTAAAAATGTAAATATAATAAATATTTTTGGGTGATACTTATAAAGTAAGGAACATGTGCATCAGTGTTATTCATGGATACCAATTTCCGAGAAGTATTGAAAGTCGAGAAAAGTAAATGTTATTGTGTCAAGTGAATGCACTGACAATACAAGAAGCTATATTGTATTCCAAGAAGATTAGGAGCGAGCGCATGTGTTAATAAAGGAAAGTTTTATAACCAATTTAAAATCAAAGATGTATTGTTAACAATGAAAGTAATTAATAAAGCTTTATTATTAAAGTTGGTCAATACTGAATACAGATCTCAATACTTTTATCATTTCATGAGAAAATGAAATAATGATATGATACATGCGTTTACTCCCTGAAATCTTATAAGGTGTTATGCATCAGTATATTTGTAGTGTTAATTATGACATAAACCCACCGCCATACCACCAACAAAACCATGCTAGTGCATAAACAATATTTATAATACACTTAACACTAACATATCGCCAATGTATTGAACATGTGAGGAAATCAAAATGATAAGCAAACAGCGGTGTCCTTCGTCAAGATAAGATGTGACACCGAAACTAATATTAGGCAATAATGAGAAAAACAATATTTATTCCAACAATGTACGTTTCAGTCAATAGGACAATTTAAATCTAAATTGAATTCCATGTTATTCAACTCCAACTTCGAATTGAGGAAGTAAAATATTTATTCCTATATTTATATCACCACAATTTGGCATTAAATTATTAAATATACACATTGTGGAGGAAGTTAATGATAACAATATAGAAACAACAAGTAATGATATCTGCAAATACGAGCAAAATTCCTCAAACAATACATATATTACAGTGATACTGAGTTTAACTTGTGACTTATCAACTTGTACTAAATATATATAGTACATGGACTAAAATGGAATAAATCACTATTTTTCTATTATTTAACAACCGAAAATATAGCAATACATAAATGCAAATACGTGATTTTGATGCAACATTTAAAGTCTAATATCTATACACAAACTCCAATTTATTTTTTAACTTCGCACAATCCTTGTTGAAATTTGAAAGGTTTTTTGCCAACTGGTCAACTTCTTCATTTCTGAATTGTCTTTTAAATAATTCAATTGTGGTATGTACATGTACATACAGGGACATAAAATTCTGACCTTTTACAATAAAGTAAATAAAAATAAATTAATAAATTCAGTGCAAAACAAGTTATAATACAGCAGATCTAGCTGACTACTAAAAAATATGGAAAAACAGAAACATGAAAATCATGAATGTTTAAAAGTAACTAATATTTCATTAATTTACATTTTAAAGGCGTGAACACAAAAACTTCATATAAAGAGCTGAATCTTAGTAGCAATTTTGTCAAACATTTCGATCGTCGGCATCATTCTCGTTTTAAGGTCACACAATTGAGATTTTAATTTGAAAGGTGACATTACTAACTGTAACTAAAAATAAAAAAAAAAAAAATTGCGTCTTACATGGTATAACTTCAACATGCACCTGCTGCATGTTTCTGTTTTTACATCAAATCAGAATGATAGCCGATTATCAGTGTGATATTCATAAACAAAGATTGAATCTAAATAAAGCTTTATTTTTGTGCATGTAATTCAATGCTTATAGTAAGGCACAACATATACATTATGATCTTTATTGTGAAAATAGAGAATATGTAACTATCTACACATTGGTTGATTGATATATTTCTAACAATAAAATAGCTCCAAAAAATAGAAGTTAATATTTCATTCATTAATTTACTGGATAATTAGATAATCATTAACGTAAATGTAGTTAGATATGCTTTTCTAGGATTTATATCGTAAAACTGAGTTAATAACGTCAATATCACCTGTCAAGATATAAACAAAATTTAATAAAATCACATGTGATTACTTGAAATATAGTAAATTAAAACATTAATCATGCAATAACACTATTATTAAAAGCAGTGAAATTAGGAAATTTTATTAAAGAAAATGCCAAAAGCAAAATGTAAAAAGCCACTTTGTAATAGGTAATAATGCTTAAATGTTCTTTATGGATTCTTTTTTTTATACAGGTAAGAGAGATGTTATCAGTTTTGCGATGCCTATGATATTTATATTTGTGTCTTCTATCTCCTGTCAGATATTGTGGATTCTTATTTTAAAGAAATCGATTTAAATTACATTTAAAAGACATGCAGGCTGAGCTAAAAGACTACAATAACTTGATTTGTTTAATACTATATTCAAATAATTTGCCATCTCTTAATCAGATTTTGAAATAATTTCCTATTTATAGTAATAACAATGTGTTATTAATATACGACTATAGTACAATAAAACTAAAGACGAGCTCGAATTGTTACTAATATAACTATTGAACGGAACTCCTTAAATGAACTGCTTATAAACATAGCTGGATAATAATTTTGTCACAAAATAGGGCAATAAAACTAATGACAATGAAAAAACTGAACTACCTATAATCTTAATTATTAGAATTCAGTATACGATAATTTGTTATTTAATATATAACATATCTATACTGGTATAAATAATGCGATTATCTATATTTGGCAAATAAATATAACATTACCACAATAAATTATATTGCGATTTGAATCGTAAATACTTATTCATTTTTGTATGTTATTATGCACTTAAAGGAAATAGGTAACCCTGCATGATTCGCCTATTAACAATTCTAGGAGCATTTTATTATTACTCAATATTTTAATTTCTTATTGCGTCGACGAAATGTTTAAAATGTTATAAGCGTATGTCGCGACTTAATCTGCGATTAAACTTAAAAATATACATAATATCATTTAAAAAAAAAAAAATTTTTATTTAATTCGGGCTACCTTTTTTTAGAAATGATAAGCGAACTACGTCTGAATATAACACTGTATTTAAAATACAGTATTTACTCCCATTCTCCTATTTAATGATGAAATAAACGTAAAGATAAAATGTGATTGAATAGTGAAATTTATTTCTAAAAAGGATCTTTTACTCTATCACAGATTACACTAGGCAAGATAAATATTAATTGCTTTTAGTTAGATACTCCCATTTTTTTAATTGTGATGTTGTTTGTATGATGATAATTGTGATGAAAATTATCTTATCAACTATTTTATTGTTGTATGAGAATATAATCTTTCTGAAACCCACATTCAGATACTTGAAAGAAAATTGTAATCTATACTACTTAAATAAAAGAATCATGACTCTCTTTTTCTAATACGAAATTTAAAATAAATTTAAATTGGGACAGTTGTATTTAGCATCAAAAACTGATTAGTATTGTTTACATGAAATCAAAGGATTGACTTCAGAAACATACAACGAAAACTTTCGATTAAGTGCTAATACAATATTACTACACTGATTTAAAATGAATGCTTATTAATTACACCAGCGGGTCAGCACTGACTTTTTCAAAATTGGAATCAGTAACAGTCCCAATGTAAACTTGCACTTAAATTAATTGTGATGTATCATAGAAATAACAAATAACTATACTATTACGCATAATAGCTTTGTATATGAAAGTTTAATATTGTATATTATACACATACTTATTATCCGTCAAATAAATACCCTGCGTTCTGAGAATCAGAGTAGGCCCTCTAGACAAGTGAGAAGCGAATTCATCGATAGAGTCGACATTGCTAACGAGTTGTGAGAAAGAATGAGATACCAGAGGGAGACTTTATACAAAAGTTTTTTTGGGCAGTTTGCTTGGGCACCTCTGTCCAATTCGTGTTTCTACCGTGAAGCAGTTGTGTTTGAATGGCTATGTTTCGGTTTGAAGGGTGGGATATGGTAGTGAATTTACATGGTACAGAGGAATAACACCTGAATCCTCAGGAATGCATGGCAACGCATGGGAGGTATCATGAGCGAAACAGTATACTGTGTTATACCCATGGCACTGCTCATGTCTATAGGCGATGGTTACTATTTACCATCAGGTGGGCCGTCAGCTTGTTTGCCATTGTAAGTTACGTAAAAAAAAAGATAGCAACGTTAGATTCCAACTCATGGACTTGCTAGCGATCGACAAATTCGCTTGGCACTTATCTAAAGGGCCTGATCTAATTATGAAAATTTCTTTAGAAACATTCATTAATATAATATTGGGATGAAGTGGCCATCAAATTTATTTAAATTGGTGGGTTGTAATATTATTACGATTAGTAACGTAAAATCATATTGGCAGCTAGCACTGTAATTGTAAATATTTTAACGTCTCATCTAAACTGTAATAGTATTTGTTCCCATTCATTACTATAAAATAATATTATACAAGATAGGAACAATAACTGGTTAACTCATCAATGCAAATTTAAAGCCAGAAACACAAAACTTCAATTCATTCTAAAAATCCATAGAATGTTTATATTATTATTGTCTATGTAGTTAAAACACTACGGGGACGGCCACAGGTTTTTTTTTTCTAAAGAGTGCGGTGGGTCAGAAAAAGCTAGAAAATACTGGTCTGGACGTTCCTAGCACTATATTCTATTTTTGTTCTTTTAGATTTTAAATTAGATTCTTTTAAATCTATCTATAGACGATACGAACAAAAGTTTAGAGAAGAAAAAAAAAAAGAAATAATATAAGAACGGTATCTAAATACAATTGCCATATTTCTGATTAAATAAAACAATGCAATCTTATTGTTTCATTTCACTTTTCATGTTTTTGCCTTTAATTCAGTTGTAGCTCAGTATGTATTTATTGAGCATTTTATATAAATAAAAACTAGTGTTATACTAGTATTAATTATTACAATAAAATCAATCGTCTTAAACGAAATATATATAAACTGGTACATACATTTTATTTCTCAAAATATATATTCTACCTAGTACCACAGATTTTACAAAAAAAATTACCTAGCAGTCATTGGAAACCTATAATAATTACGTAGGGAGTTTAATTTTTATAAAAGTTGTAAATAAACTAATTAAATCTTAACCAAGTTAATTATGTAAATTTTACTGGATTTGTCATTTATTTATAAGTATGAACACCTTGCCTAAACAACCTTGACTTCCATTCTTATATGGAGTGTTAAGGGGTCTGTAGACCGTCACGCAGCTTGAGTTTAAGACATGTACTGTGGTGCTCATCTTACAGGCTACAAAAGATGCGTATTTTATTAAACTACTTGACTCTCTACCATTAAAGATGATAAATGTATTTATTAATTAGGTGTTTAGTGGCTTTGTTTTTGAAGTTTGTACACAATTACTACCTGTAGCAAAAACGTAACTAGTCTAAAACTGAATGAATGAGATTAGCAAATGGTTATACACTATTGTATAAAACAATAATTTTAGCACTGTTTGACATCACCACAAGCTGTCACAAAGGCTCTAACCTAACCATTCGATAATCATGCACTTTATCACACTATAGCGAACTAACAATAATTATTTCAATAATAACAATTTTATTTAATGCAGTTCATTTGATATAGGTGAGGTCTCACACTACTTTCATGCAATTATTTTAAAAAATCATATCCCAATTACGATGCCAGTAATATAATTTTAAAATATCATTAATAAACACAATGTTGTATTGTTTTAAAATTACCTTTATATGCTCCATAATGGTAATTTAAATTGTTGTAATAAACATAAGATAGTTTACGATTTTTCATTATGTAAAAGTGAATACGGTATACAAAAAGACATGTTCAATTCGTAATGAATGTATGGTTACTGCCATTATAATTGGATAAATCTATAGGTGCGTGAAATGATTGGAGCCGAAGCTCTCGTCGGACGAGGTACGCGAGGTGGACGGGGTAGCTTCCAAATTACCTGAAACTGTATCGCTTTGTGATACTCGAAGTTCTTGTAACTCTAGTGCTGCTTTTTCACGTCTGAAACAAATTTTAATATAAACCTCAACATTTAAGACACGAAAATATTTATATAATACTAATCATAATGTTATATGCTTACCTTAATATCACAGTTGCTCGAGTTTGCTTCTCAGTCTCAGAGAAGTTTTCAGCTCGTTGGCCTATCTTTGATTTCTTATCAGGCTCTATGAATGTGCCTAATGATCTCTTTGGCAATTCATTTGGGGGCGGTGGACCTGGGTAATCAAGTTTAGCTCGCTTCAACTCGTCCATGGACCGTTCCAAATGATAAATCACCACATCATCTTCATAACCAAAATCTTTATGAAGCTTAACCTACAAATAAATTATAATATTTAAATAAGATACTTCAGAAATCAATACTAGCATATTAGGTAACTTAATGCATACCTGTATATAGTTAACAATAAGATCCATATCGTTTAATTTCATGATAGCTTTTTTGTGAAGTTTGAGTATAGTATACGCCATTGCAGTGATCACTCTTTCTCCATCAAGTAAATAAATGTCCCAAACTCTCAAACATAAACTAAATGGTACTCGTTCAACAAAACATACAAAAAACCATTTTAAAGAGTATAATATTGCATCGAGACCAAATTTATCAAAATGATGTTTCAGTTTCGGCATAAATTTTGTGAGTATCTTATCGTGATGTTCCAAGAACCTTGTTAATTTTGGGAAGCCTTCAACATACAGTCCGTGCATGACATACTTCTTGTCAGATAGAAGTATTGCTAAAGCCCAAAAAGCATCCTCTTCGTCCATATACATAAGCAAAACGCCAGCCAGCCCCGACATCCCTTGACAATAACCTACCTCAGAATTATACATACTATAGGCGCATAATACATTGAACAAGGAACATTGCTTCTCGGAGTATCTTTCTCTATAAAACTGGTGTTCACGAAATTGTCTGTTCACATCAGAATCAATCTGTCTTACGTCCGTTGACCAATGTTTAGCTAACTTTAACATTTCTTGGTATTTTCCAGGGTTTTCGGATTTCATTCGATTAACATCCAATAATTTACACCAAACTTTAATTCGTAAAGAATTTGGAATGCCTTTGTAAATCCGCCTGTGAAGTTTTTCTTTGGTGGCGGTTGAATCCCACGATCCTAGCATTTTCACCCATTTTTTTTCGCGTTCAACTTCGATGTTGACCTTTTGCGGCGCCGTTTTCTGCGGCAATCGTTCATCGTGAATGAAGCCATATCTGAAAAAGAAATATTTAGTAGAAACAAAACAATCAAGTAAAACAAACAAATACGGAGTATTTCCAATGTAATATGTCAAATACTGTGTCAAGTTATGACTAAAATTTTTCTCACATAACAAAATTGAAATTAAGTTTAAGATTCCATTCTTTAAATTCGTACAGGGAACCAGTTTTTCTTAATTAAGTGAAAATTATAAATACAAAATACCGTATGTGTTGTCATACAAATTATTAACACTATTAATATCCTTGAAACTATAAATTATATTATTATATTTGCTACATACCCTGTAGCAAATATGATAATATACTTTTGTCTTTTTTTATAAATTTTTGTTGAGATTTCAGTACACCTGGCAAACTATGCCAGGTTTGTCATGTAAATTTGTTATGGTCACCTTTATCCATAGATATAGGCATTCAGCATTGTACCTACCAGGTATACTACTTTTCTCTTTACTATACAACATTATCCCAGACATATGTGAATAAAAATAATGTACCATTAAATCATTAATAAAACATTATAGTCTTCTTACATTTTTTCTCCTATCTTGTTGTGACAGTAAAATTATATGATATCTCCTATTACAAAAAATTATAGAATTACCCATTTCATAATAAATGCCAAATAATTAATTTCCATATAATTTAATTGCAAATATGTAACAATCACAATTTACTTTCGCACCATGCAAAGAAAGTTTTACCAATAACCTAATCAAATTTATTACACACTAGCTGTATCTCACAGTTTTGCCCAAATACATCAGTATATAAAATATCTTGTGTTAAAGTAGGATATAAGCTATGCATGTACCAAATTTCATTCATATTCATTCAGCCATTTAAATGTAATTTAGTATTAAACATGCCTCCATATTACTAGTGATCCGACCTGGCTTCGCACAGGTAGATAGATTTTCATATAACCTATATAACTCACTAATAATGAAGCTTTAGGTGAAAGAATTTTTAAATCGTTTAAGTAGTTTTTGACTTTATCCCTTACAAACCAACAATAAAATCTTTTCTCTTTATAATATTAATATAGCTAGTAAAATTAAAACAACCGTGTTTATTCGAAAGATAAAAAAATTACAGTATTCAATTGTTAGTATTTCTATTACTATATCCTATCAAATTCTATATTATGTTGATGTGCTGAAGTTAAAGATACTAGCATACTGACTTTTGACAGACAACTCTTAATTCGCATTATGCACAATAGCTCCAATGAGAAGCTTAAGTGTTAAATGAATATTTCATATTACAATCGCATATGCATACATTTGCATCACAAAGTTCATTCGCCAGCAAATGTTAGTAGTTTTTTAAAATACAACAAATTATTTTACTAACAAGTAGCTTTTTTTCCTGCAGCTTTATATGCATGGGTGAAAACCTCATTCAATTTTATTCAGTAGTTTCTGCACTATGCCAGAACAAAGGTACTCCATATAGTATTATTTTTTAAATATTATGGGAATGTACAGACATTATGTATTTAATTTCAATATTATTAGTAAGATTTTATGTACAGCATAATATCATAATTGTTATAAAATTTGTCCAACTTTAATTATAGAATTAAAGAAATAAGTACAATTAAGTAACTCGGTTTGCCTTATTAATACTATTATAAGCCTATTACAGAAAAAGACATATGTGGTGGTAAAATTCTTAATACCACTTTCATAAAAGCAAGGTCAAGCAAACAAATAACTCAGTTAAGTGAAAGCAGTTAAATATAGTCTTTGCCCAGCAGTCAAATAAAAGTTGAGTTTATATTTTTATCTAGAACATATATAACTTGTAAATTATCAATACTAAAATGCATGACCTCATAAGCCCATGACATTTGAGATGTTATTCTAAAGGAAAAAGAGGTGAATCAACAAAAAACATAGGGTACAGATGTAATATTCAGAAATATACAATTTTCAAATAGTTATTAACTTGAAATTTATAGAAAATGCATACATAGCACATACAAATATGCAATTAATCTCGGTATACATGAACTATGTATATCTTAAAAATTTTAGTAACTAAAAAAGGATTGTGTTTAGCATAAAAAATTTTTGCACAATAGATAAATAGAATTTAACACAGTATTTTATCCACTACAAATTTTCGAAATTATCTCAAGCAAAAATTGATGATAACACTCTACTTAATCAAAATGTATTCAATATTAATTAAAACAATTTTATATCCAACTGCAAAAGTTTTATTATTTACGAAAATACAAATAGAGATATCTCATCAATGGGTACACTGTTAATACATTCTTGAACAAAGCATATTATAAGATCAACAGGAAGCTTGACCATACCTATCAGTTTTGTGATATTCTTCAAATTCAGGATCTTCCCAGGGGTCTATTTGGCCAGCCAAATTCTCTCGACCCCGCTCGTACCTCTGGAAGATTCGCTCCCGCTCCTCGGAAGCCCGTGCCAACAGTGCCTCCTCATTCATAACACGGCCTGATTTTGCCACATATCGAAAGATTTACACACCGCACAATCAAATTCAAACTATAAATAATACTGGTCTATATTCACACTATACTCTGAATGATACACTAATATTATTTTTCGATGCAATACACCCATTTTTTCTAAAAATTAAAATCACGCCCTACGGATGCCTGCCTATTTGACGTCCTCATCATGTCATGACATACACAGGACATTATCAATAGCAAACAACGTCTATATAAACTCAGCGTGACATAGAAATCGACTGATCGTTGCTATAAAACCAAAAACTTAATTTTAAACACATTAATTTTTAAAGCTTCACATTAAATAAAATTTATCCCTATAAGGTGATGTAGATAGGTACTGAAGGTAGGTAGTTTTTATGTTCTATTCTGTCTAGTCTATGTTGGTCTATGTCTGTCTAGCCATTGGTATAAAAAGTTTAAAATTTAGAATTGTGGCAGTTGTGCATCTTAGATGGAGGATAGTATGCAATATAGTCGTCGTACTTCAGCACACATATAGCTATTTTTTTTTTTTATTATGAAGCATATAGTTCAGAAGAGTAAAAAAAAGTACCAGATGGGCACTTCTTTTCTGCTTCTTTAGCAGCAGGCCATTATCTGGCACGTTTTCACCAACAAACACACCAGACCATGATAAAATAACGTAAATTAGCTTTATTAAGAACTTAAAAGCTAATGTAAATTCTCTACAATATTGACATCTTCTACCATTATTATTATTCCTTATATGTAGGATTTCTGCCCTCAAGGTAGGCTTCTCGATGGCGGGTGGACACTGGCTGTTGTCTGGTATGCTTAGACCAATAAATGCACCCCACCAGTCTTCTTTTTTCAAATCAATTCACCGCTCTCTAGTCGATATTTATACGTGGGCAAAGGGAACGGATTATATAAAAATCGCGATTTTTGACAATTATTTGCAATCCGCTCGTATACAGGGTGCCGTGCTAAATAGATGAGATAAGTCTACATTCAGACGTACCAGCATCCCGATGCTAGCTAACGCGCCTCCCGACTCTTAGTGACAGCGGTATCGCATAATTAGCCTATCACGAATTGAGAAAAAAAGTTACTGCTTTTATTTAATCTTTTTGTCTGTTATTCCTTATTCTTAGTGCACAATGAATTTTCTTGTCAAACGTCGTTGACGTTGACATTCATTTCTGTGACATTACGTTCAAATAAAGTGTCAATTGTCAATTGACATATATTAGCGAGTCAATCGCGGATTGAGTTATTTTAATTTCTTTCTTTCCGTAGATAAGTTATATAGTTTGTGGTGTTTTCAAAGTTCAAAGTCCTTTTTTTTAAATAATTTATTTTATATAGATATAAATATCGAATTTTAAATTTAAAATGAATCCCATAACACAGGTAAGATTAAGTTTAATTTATATATTGTCTAATCATAATGTATTCTAAGATTTTTTTTTTTATTTCGAACTAAGTTCGACGAGCCAAATCCTCTAGATAAGATCCTGTCCTATATCTACTTAGATGACATAATATTCGTCCCCGTGTATGAGTACTTATTAATTTTTATCACTATTCTAAAATAAAAAGAAGTACTTGGGTTCAAAAGTCCAAAGTACAAATTTCTACAGTCAAATGCAACTTGTTGTTTTTAACTCTTTTTCATTAAGCGAAATAGTATAATTTTGTAAATTTTTAAACGATAGTAAAGTTATTTATTATAAATAATGATTCTATTAAATAATAATACTAAATTGAAGTTTATGTAGATGATTCTTTTGCTTGTAAGGAAATAAATATACTAAAAATTAAACTTATGTAAATACCAGTCCTCTATAACAACATTTTATTTTTAATAATGTCATATGTATGTTTAATGATGGCTGTATGGTTAAATATTTTTTTATAATTTTGCTGTACTTTTTAAAATACAAATTTTTTCTGAGACTGTCCCTCTGTATCAATATATAAAGCAACCTTTGCCACCTTAGTGGTTTAAAAAAATGTGTTTAATCATGTTTGAAATTTTATGATTGAATAATAAACATCTTTACAGACTTTCACATTTATAATATTAGTAAGAAATGGTACACTTGCTGCATCATATTTTTTTCAGTATTTTTTAATTAAACATGTAAATGATAGATTGTAACATACATCACAATTTGTATGTGTGTATTTACAATAAAAATATTTAATTATGTCTATTAATAACAATGACTTCGCTCACTTTAGTTAGTTTGAGAGTAGATTTATCTAACATTTTCAATAATATTCTTACAATTTTTTCAATAATATAAGCACATAACACACCAAAGGTTTTCAGGCCTGGCTATATAGTGTGGCTTATATAATGTGCTGTATGATAGCTTTTTTAGTTAGTTATAGTCTTAATTGTACCCAATATATAGTTTTGCTGCTTATGTGTATAGGCGATGGTTACCAATTTCCATCAAATGGGCTGTCAGCTTGTTTGCCATTCTAAGTTGCATAAAAAAATGTATATGTCCATGGTAATGTTCATGTCTATAGATGACTATTACCACTTCCTATGACTCATCAGCATTCTTATTGTATAAAAAAAGTATAAGTTCATTATTGCTGGTATGTACTAGTAAGTTTTGATAGATTTGGATGATTTCTGGTTAATTGGCCTATTGTGATAAAATCAGTGTAGAAGTTTTTTTAATGGCTGATAATTGAATGGTAACCCCACCAGTACTATCGGTATACACCGATGGGGCACCAGTGAAGGGTGATAGATGAGGATGAAGCAGGTCAGTTAGCCCATCATGACAAATTCAACAAGAATTGTTCACGATGGTTTCCAGAGGGAACCATGTGCTAACAATCCCTTTCCCCTCAGTGTAGAAGTTGATCTGAAAGAGTATATTGCTATTTTTGTCTTGTTATTGGTCTAGTAAGTGCCTAATAGAATGTATATTGATTAAGAAAGGGATATTTAACAATGGGGTCCTTTGCTAGCAATATACCCTTTTAGGTCAACCTCTATGCAGTTCCGCCTGGAAATTATCATGTTTAATAATTATTAAATTCATCACAATGGGCAAACTGAACTGCTTTATCATAATTTATTATCCGTCACTGGTGCCCTGCCATTGTATACCGGTAATGCAGGGATGGAGGGGTCATTATTTTATTTTCACTCATTAAAAAAACAATGTATTTTTTTTATACCACTGAGATGGCAAACAAGCATATTGAACAATTCCTCTGAGCACAATTCATTGTATAGGCGGTAGAACACGCAGAGTGAGGCAAAATATCTCCTAAGACTTAAGGGTTCGATACCGCTTGTGAGCCTGGGATCATCGACAATTCTCATAGCTCGTCGTTGCAACGAGTCGAAAGGTTCAAGCTGGTATTTAGGTGCTCCGGCCCATAAGTAACAGCAATACTCCATGTGGGGCCGGATTTGCGATTTGTACAGCATTAATCGCTGATCCGGCGTGAAGTAATGCTTCGGTCTATTGAGCACACCGAGTTTTTTGGATGCCAGATTCACCTTATCTTCGAGGTGGCCACGGAATTGTACATCACTATAGATGTCGACACCAAGGATCCCAATGCTTTTAGAGATGTTAAGAAACGTGCCTTGGATCTGTGGAGCCAAAACAAATGGAGTTTTCTTAGCGGTAAACGCAAGCTTGTGTCTGAGCGGGCTTAAACTGGACTAAGTTTTGTCGTCCCCAATCGAAGACTCTAGTTACCGTTCTCTCGATTTTAGACACAAGCTATTCACGATTGTCCTCCACGATGGAATGAGGGACATTGGTACCACCCGTATAATGGGTATCCCGAGTGCTGTCATCCGCATAATAATGAATGTCACCTAAGGACAACATATCATTAATATGCAGCAGGAACAACGTCGGGGATAGCACAGAGCCCTGCGGGACGCCAGCGTTAATGTCCATGCTTTCGGAGCAGCAACCATCAACAACGGTTTTTATGCATCTGCTGGACAAAAAACTGGTAATCCATTCGCAAAGGTTATCGGGAAGTCCATAGTAGAGCAATTTAGATAGAAGACCCCGATGCCAGACCCGGTCAAAAGCCTTTGCAATATCAAGACTGACAGCGAGCGCCTAACCCTGACTCTCAATGGCTGACGCCCATCGGTGTGTAAGATATACCAAGAGGTCACCAATTGAGCGACTATGGCGAAAGCCGTATTGGCGGTCACTCAATAAATCGTGATCCTCTAGGTATATCAACAGCTGTGCGTTAACTATACGCTCCATCACCTTAGAGAGAAGGGAGGCGATCGTTATCGGCCTGTAATTTGAAGGGTCCGACTTATCGCCCTTTTTAGGTACAGGATGTACAAGGGTGGTCTTCGATGTCGAAGGAAATTGCCCTGTGGAGTACGAGATCGTGAAGAGACGCGTTAGTGCAGGACATAGTTCCGAAGCACACTGCTTTAGGACCACTGCCGGTATACCGCCTGGCCTACTCGACTTAAGAACATCTAAGGATAGTAACTCCCGCCGGACTTTACATTGTGTTATGGTAAATTCCGGCATAGAGCTTCCACAGCACGGGATGGTAGGTGATGCAGAATATAAATGACATGTATTTAAATAATATTGACAAATAATGTGTGAAAGTTTGGAACTATATTTAGATATTTAATTTTATTCAGGTATGTTTATACAGCTGAATGGATTTAACTGTTATATATAGATCATAGGTTCTTAACGTGGGTGATAATACCCTCTTGTGGGAACCCAAAAATATATTATATAAATATAATTGTGGCAGCAGCTATTTTAAATTTGAAACAGATGGTAAATAAAATTAAGAGAGGGACTCTATAAAAAATATGATACCAAAACAGGCAGTAAGCAAAATAAGGTTAAGAAACTGTGATACAGGTTAATTATATTTTAGACTATTGTATGTAATATATATAAATATTTGTTAATTCGCATGGAGCATCACATTGCTGGTCAAATTTGTTTATAAAGAAATCAAATTGAAGATTTATAGTTACAAAAGTGGTTTGGTTAATGAAACTGGATCTTGGTTGCTGAACATATGTAAATAAAATTAGATATACAGACTTAATCCTATACCAACACATATTATTATTTTTATCATAACTCAGATGTGTAAAGGCATTGGATACAGCTAGTATTTTATAAAGAGTGGATATAAATAATTTGGTCCTCAATTTTAATACCTGTAATCAAACTGAAGTTGCGATGGGCCAAATTAGGTATGATTTATCTATACTGTAATAAAAATAATCACTGGTAAACGACCACGAAAGTAACTTATCAAGATAATGTTGCCTATGGTATTAATATTATCTCTCTGTGTTGGATTTAACATTATTATATTCAAAAATTAACTCCTATATAATCACAAAATTTTACAATTTAATGTCAAAACAATATTTTTTAGAAATTTTCTCTCTCAGTCTGTGTCGCGTACAACGCGGTTTCAGAGATGTTTTTTCACACGAACACTCAGGTTATGGAATGAGCTCCCTGCCGAGGTTTTCCCAAGAGACTACAGCATGGGGTTCTTCAAAAAGGGGGTAAAGAGGTTTCTTTAGGGTCGGCAACGCGCGCGTAATACCTCTGATATTGCAGGTGTTCATAGGCTACGGTAACCGCTTACCATCAGGTGGGCCGTATGCTTGTTTGCCACCTAAAAAATTTTTTTTGCTCCATCATCACGTAAAAATTACTGCTTTAAATTTAAAGTGAAAATTAAACTGTGTAAATGCGATTTACACAGTTGTATTCCTGAAGGTTTTTCTTAAAACTGATGTATGTTTTATCTTGATACGGCATCTAATTTATTGGTTTTTGGAAATTTATGCATACGAAGTAGCAGTCAATCAAAAACTAATATTTTATATTTTGTAAATTAAATTACAGCTGGCTCGAGCTACTCGCCCTATCTACAAGAAACTGTCTACATCTGCTGCATTGTCATCAGCTAAACCTATTCCAACGACAGGGTATTGTTTTGGTATGTAAAATAGCATTCTATCCTATTGTTATTGTGAATATGAATGATTGTAAATGTATTTGTGTATTTATCGAGTAGCAAAATTTCGAATGAATTTAAATTAATTTTGTACACAGATGCACCATGCCCTAATTTAACATACAAGCAAGATTTTATCGGATAAATCCGCCTTAAAATAAAAAAAAAAACTATAGAGTATGAAATTAGAAAGATACACTTGCTAATTTCACTTCATATTCCAAATAATGTAATATTTTCTTTTTACGTATGAGAATAAATATTACTGGTTTTATGAATAATATACTTCGCCTATTAGGCATTTATACTGAATATAATTAAAGGATATTCCCGCTTATTAAGCTCGCCGAAGGACAGTCCAAAGCTTTGATTAAACGAATCAAAAACAAATTCTGTAACTGTGGAATAGAAATTATAAGTGAAACATTAATAAATACGCCATTCCAAACACACCGTATTACCTGTCTTAGCCTCAAGATTATAACGTTAGACCCAATACTCTAAATAATCAAATTGATCAACAATCACATAGCAATATTTATAATATAATATAAAGCAGACAATAAATAACGAGGTTTAATTAATAATTACATGGCCCTATTTATATTATTATCCAGGCATTATAAATAATGCGCTCATTAATCAATTAGTTCATAACATAATATGTACCAAGAATACGTATGTATAGATTAATTGAATACTTACCTATTCTGAGAACATTGTTTTAAGCCATACTGCATTTGCGAAAATCTTTTGTTTTGTGTTGTTCATTTTTTAGCGTAATTATGTCTGGTTCTATAGTATATGGAACTCTTTGTATTACAAAACTTTTGGGTACAACCGCACAGCGAATGTTCACCGGTTTTCTTTTGCGCGCACGGATTATAATCCTCATCTTTTTATCATGTGGATATTTATTGCAACTCAACTTGCAATAGGTCTTTAGTGTGAAAACTCTGGTAATCTCAACAGCCTCAATGATAGGCCCCTTGGACGACTAGAGGTTAATATCAAGTATAAATTGAAGGCTATAACGGAGGAATGTTCACATCTAACCTTGAGTTAAAAGCCGTCTTCGACAAACAGATGTTATTTGCAACAAATACTTACTAATATAATAAAACTGTAATTAGATTGTCTGCACGTGGGAAATATTTAAGAAAAAAAAAAAATGTGGTTTTAATAGGACCAGTAAATACTAAAACAATATTTTTTTAGAAATATGTCTGTTTGTCTGTATGTTGTTCCGGCATCACACAAAAACTAATACGTCAAAATAGATGCAGTTTTCATAATTGTGTTCCTGAAGGTTTAACTTAAAAACTGCTGTATTTTTTTTTCTTGATATGTCATCTAGAAATGTTCTATTTCATTCATTCTATTTCTGAAATCCACCTGTACTAAGTAGCAGGCAAAAACTGATTTAGAATATAAAGAAAGACAATTTCTAGACGAAAGTGCGAAATTGCTGAAAAGTTCATTAAATTGTATAGAAGATCGCTATAAAAATTCTTTAAGATAAGCAGAAATGTTACAAATACGTACAGTAGACAATCAGTAAACAATATTCCAAACACAATTCGGGTCAAAAGCAGCTTATACTTATAGTGCTATATGGATTTTGAAAAGTAATACAACATTTATATATTACTATAAGTTTATTATCTACTATATATTATCTTGTCGATAATACATACACTCATGATTATTACTAAGATAAATTTTAGGAGTAATATATATATATATATATATATATATATATATATATATATACAATATTTAAAATATTTTAGAAGTTTTTCGAGTCTATGTCTTGGAATTTCTTAATTCATAAATTTTGATTAAAATGATGAAAGCGCTTTATTTCCTATGGTTCCATTAGTAAATATTTAAAAATATTTCTTAATTATTTTTGTCGGCTGTACTCACGTATTTATTTCGCGGTTGCCTATTGATGTTTAGAAAACGTAACTAAAACACCGCCGAATTTTTCATACATATGCTTTTTTAATATAGCTTATTGTTGCTATCATATTTATCTTTGTTAGACTTTAGGAGATTATTTCCTTGGATTTATAAAGTTGAAGTAAATCCAATTAATAATAATCGATACATTCAGTATAAAAGTATATCAAAACAGATATCACATAATTATTATTAAAGTCCAATATACGCTTCCTTAATATTTTTGAGCATACCAAACAAGCAAGAATTTTTTTTTTCTTTTATTCCTTCCTAATATTATATTAATTATCATTTGCTTCGCTGCAAAGTAAACGGGTGCCCTATAAAAGGACAATATTAGAATATTTTTGCCACGCGGTTTGGTATGGGGTTTTGTTCGAGTTGTTATTGTGCCTTCTTATTTTAGCAGCTGTATATAATTATTGAATTCCTAGTATCTCACTACAAAAAAGGTCATTATTGAAATATCATTACAATAAAAGTGGCATTAACTTACATATATTTTGATATTTGTATAACTTTCGCTTTAATTAAAGGTTAATATTTCATAAGATTCAGGTATTATTTTATAGCAGTATACAACAGTATTACTAAACATCATGAAATACTAATCGTGTACACACCCACATAGTCACTTAAGATCATATGAAATTGTAGTCAAATGCGCTCAAATATAAAAATTAATATTTTTAATTTTTTTATTGTTAAGGTATTAGTCTTAATTTCAGTTAATTAATCATTTATAATCTAGAATGATTTTGTTTTGAGTTTTGAGTTGTACTGCAAGCAATTAGAGATAATTAACTAATAATATTATATAATATTGTATGTATTATCAGAGAGGTAAAATCTCTTTAAGCATCGTTATCTAAATCATAACAACCTTCGATCACAATTTACGGTTTTGTTTGTTCATAATAATCTTATCTAATAAAGTCGGGTGACAACTCGGTTGTAAAATGACATAAGTATTGTATCTTATCTTACATATATTCTAAGTACATAATCATGGAATTTGAACTATGGATAAAAGTTTATTAATATTATATAAAATGTTATAGGCATACTTTCTTAAAAATATTAGTCGGTATAATATACATAAAATACTTATCAAGTATTTACTTATCAGAAGTTGTCACTCAAATATGACTGTTTTGTCTGAGGTTCCATATATTATGTGACTTGAGATTACCTATAAAAGATAGAGAAAACATAGCTAAACACATTTTTGTAGTAGGAAAAGAACGGCAATTCATGGCAGTGTCTACTTTTTTAATGGCAATCTGTCTTTTTTTTACTATTGAAAAGCATGTACAGAATGTACAAACCTTTCTCAAATACTAAGCTTGTAATTTTAATCGGTCTAACGAAAAGGTTAAAAAGAACAAAACAAAATTTTTCATAATACAGAGAGCTTTTTATTAACATTGTATCATATATTTGATATGTTGGGAACTATTTTGAAATAATGCATAATAATTCTAGTTATATAAAAATAGTTTCTAGACCAATTCTGTATGTAAACTGAGCGCTAACAGGTCGTACGCCAACAATGTCTAGATACAAATCAAGTATTTGTAAAAAGCTGCAAACTTTAACCTTCCTTAATTCAAATTCTTTGAAAGTTCAGCTGCTGAAGGTATTGCAGTTATGAAGTTATTAAAGGCAAAAGAGGACATTCTCAAGAATTTGAGAATACAATTAATAACGATGAATTTTCGAATATAGATATTACTATATAGATATAGATATTACTATTAAATGACGAGCATGAGGCAAATGAATATTCTTAATTGATGTGTTTTTGTTGACATAGAGACTGGGTAATATACATACATGGTAGTTGTTCGCAAATGTAGATAAATACAGTGGAAGATTCCTATCTTACTAATCACTACTACTAAGCATTAATCTATTTTTATGTGTTACTGAATATATTTACATGTTCTATAAATGTCATGTATCTATTTATTAAGTAAAGATAAGACAAAACAAATATTTGCTATACTTATTTATATTATTTCTGCGAGGGTTTTAGTGTTTATTCAATAACAATATCGTAAATGCCCATATTGCGTTTATACGTTCCAATATTCTCCATGAAAATTAGTTGGAGATTATGCTATGCTGTTTATAGTTTTCATACTTCCGTGATCTTTTTTATTCTTGTATTCCTGATAGTCATTGTTCGATACTCTGTAGAGGTTATCTCCCTGCACCCAACACTGTCTTGTAGATTTATTATTGTTCATAATAAGTAAATACCTACTTTAATGTTATTTATTTAAAACTTTTGAATTTTTCAGAGCTAAGTGATGAACAAAAAGCACTTCAGGAGCTTGCTAGAAAATTCACCAGGGAAGAAATCATTCCTGCGGCGGCCCAGTATGACAAGAGTGGAGAATACCCCTGGCCAATTCTCAAAAAGGCTTGGGAGCTCGGTCTCATGAATGGACATGTTCCTGTACATTGCGGTAATGATATCTTTATATTATATAATAAATAATCATTCGTGATTTAATTTTAATTTTAGATAATTATTTTAAATTTGAGGTAAACATTGATGACAAAACTCCTAATTCCAGTATGCAAATAGCAAGATAGTTCAGTATATGCTTGTGTTGTGGTTAAAGATATTTTGTAGTGTGCGTGCGTGCGTTCTTTCGTGTGTGTGTACGTGCTTACGTATGTGCGTGTGTGTGTGTGAGTCCGTGCGTGTGCGTGCATGCATGCGTGCACGCGTGTATGTATGCGTATGTGTGTGTGTGTGTGTGTATGAGAGAGAGAGAGAGAGAGAGAGAACATTGTAAGTAATGATAATATCACTGTGATGCTTCGGTAATTCGCCAAATATGATCAATCATCCTCGTTATTATTGTATAATTAGGATGATGCAAATACAGAATAATTTTTTTATTATAATGTTTTTTCGCAGTTATATCCAGTGAAAAAATATTCTTTGTTCTTTGATAGACTAACTTTCCAAAAATTGTGCATTTAAAGTGTAAAAATATTATGAAACTTCTAACCGGTCAAAAGTAGAGGAAATAAAAAATAAAATACGAAATTATTCACCTTTTTTTTGATCGACTAGAAACCGTTCACCTTTGAACGATTTTTTACAATCAAAAGTACTTTTGACTGGTTAAGCGTATGACGTAATATGTATTAATAACCAATCAAGATACCAGCTTTTTTTTCAATTCTCCATCAATTGTAACTACATATTGTAAGTCTAATGTAGGACGATTGCAATTTTCTAAAATTGAAACTTTCATATAGTGGCAATAATAACAGAGATAGTTTATTAACGTACTACGTAATTTCAATATTCACGTATATGTAAATAATGAAGATCAATTTAACAGTAGCTAGGTATTTAGAACAAATTCGTAGTTTTCGTCATTTGTTATACAACGATTACAATACATTATACATACTCTGCTCGAGGAGTCACGATGTTCTGACCTTTAGGTTCCGTCTTGTTTGGTGAGCTGAGGAATTAGCATTACTGTTATTGGCATATACGAGTACAATTTTATTTGTAAGTCTTGAACAATTTTGCGCGTTAAATGAAACTTATCTAAGGAGACATTTAATAACGATTTGTAAAGGTATTTTATAATAATATCTTTTACTAAATACGACTATGGTTAAAATATTTTTCATAGTATATGAAACTTTAAATAAAAAATGGGATAAGTCCGCACTTTTTATCTTTTTAATATGTTTTTTTTTTTATACAACTTAGAATGGCAAACAAGCTGACGGCCCATCTGATGGAAAGTGGTAACCGTCGCCTATAGACATGAGCAGTACCATGGACATAACAAAGTATACTGTTTTGCCCATGATACACCCCATGCGTTGCCATTCCTAAGGACTCGGATGTTAATCCTCTGTACCCAGTAAATTCACACCATTTTTAATATGTCTAATGTAAATTGTGTAGAATAAAGATTATTTATGATATTACATGATATTATAGATTGATTATGATATTATAGATTAAGGTTTACTCTTCCCAAGTCACAGTATATTGTTTCTCAAGTTCAGCATCCAATCTATACTTATATTATCTTTTTTTATTAATTATTGGTTCACCGGATAAAACTGGACCAGAATGGATACTAAAAGAAATATATTGTAATGATGCTACTATCACAGTATATTTCTATAAAATAATATATTTGCGCGATAAGTTATTAATGTTTCTCAATGTGCATGCAATAATTATATACTTTTTATAATTCGAAATATTTACATGTGTTGTCAACATGGATAATAAAAGAAATATACAAAATATTCATGTTAGTTGCATTGTTTTTATAATAAAGGCTGTACCTGGCATACTCTCAATTTTTGTATAACATTTTGCTACGTCTTTGTAGCCACATTTTCAGCAATGATCCTGAGAAATCAGTATTTCAATAACAGTATAGTAGTACTGTATTACAATAGTATCAGCGGAAGCATCTTTTCTATAATATTGATTATGTTATTTGTTTCGTCTACTTGTCTCACAGTATATCGATCATGATAGCATTATTCAAAATTAATATTATATAAACAGTTACTTTTAAAATAAACGATAAGAAATCTAACTACACATCGCTGACACATCTTTTAATTAAAATCGATTATATATATAAATAAATTTAATGTGTTCAACAGTTATTCTCATTTTTGTTTTATAAAAGAGTGTATAATGAAATTTATTTCGTCGATATCTGTACATATGAAACATTAAAGAACTACTAACGTATGACAGCTTTGTAAGAGAAGTTGACTGGTTTTTAAAATTCGTTTTCAGTCTGGGTGTATAAACATTTAATTCATAATTCTCATTAATAAACAAATAACTTTTAGTCAGAATAGTGATGAATGTGGCTTCGCAGGGGGATTGGGTCTGGGCGTATTCGAAGCGTGCCTCGTCAGTGAAGAGATTGCATTCGGCTGCTCCGGAATAATGGCAGCGATTTATATCACCGAAGTTGGAGTGAGAACTTCCTTATAGAATGTTCATACTATCAAAGACTTTCTTCTTATAAATATATTGTCTTCATAATTTTCAAACTTAACAATAGGTTTATGTATTTAATCAGATATTGGCGTTCGTATTATATACAAAGTAATATACATTTTTTCCACCACTCGATCGCTCTGCGTTTCATATAATAAGTTTGTATTATGTTATATGTAAAAGGCTGAGTATTTTTTTCTTTTAATATTTTTTATCGTCTCATATTTAATAAGTGTGCTTTTTTTACCTTTTTTTTTTGTATAAAAAAGACAATGTCTTTTACATCCTTAGTCCTCTGCCTTTTCAGACAAGATTACACATTTTTGTAATTAGAAAATAAAATATAAAATAAGTGCTTAGGGATTACTTAAGTCCGTATCATTGATATAGATAAATATATTATATCATAACAAGGTATCATTGATATGTTTCTTATTATTATGTAATTCTTTTAAAATAATACTAATATCGTGTTAACAGTAGTCACAATAAATGAAATTGCTTTAATAATTATTTCTTCTGATTCGTAAAAAAAGTGAAAAATACATAAATATTTAACATACTACTCTTAATATATCAACTAAAAAAAAATTTTGTACAATACAATGCATGATTTTTTTTTGTTATAAAACAAGCTCTGATGAGCCAAATTGACTAGCTAAATTTGATATCTAGATGAAAGTTATTGAAAAAAATAATTGCAACAATTAGAGATATTTTTGAAAAGGTTTAGTAAGAAAAAGCGGTTTATCAGGAATAATTACTTATCTAATAACTCCAAATACTTTTGCTCGCCTTTAGATATATAGTTAAGTGTATATCTAGCCTAATCTATCGACCAACACTACATTAGACATACAATGGAGTACCTGGTGCAGTAAATTTTTTACCGCTCGATTTCTGCAATCTTCATAACTGTATGGACGATGAAGTTAATTCTTTAGACTTTTTACGCCGAGTCTAAATTACATAGATATAAATTCAATTCTAAGTTGAAATTTATTATAAATTATAGTTAAATATATTATATATATTATATTATATATATATATATTGGCTATATGAATGGTTTGATCTTTAAAACTCTTATTATTTAATTTTTTCCAGTGTATATTAGTGAAGATTACAAATTTAAAAGAATGATAGTATGAGTACTTATCAATAATATATAGTACCTATCAATTCTGGACGCAAAATTTTATCAATCATAAAATGCAACAACAATTAAGAAAATAGATATAGATTTTTCGTCGTATGTAAGTTGAATACGACTTACGTAATAATTATCTCAGTTTTATTAACATATTATAATAGGGTCTTAGGAGCAAGCAAGCTAGGTAGTAGATAAAGTGTATATTTAATTATATATTTATAAGTACATATTTCTTTTCATAATAACCATTCTAACTGGGTGACAAAAAAATAAATAATTTGGTTTAAATTTGCATGACTGCCAAAAACATAATTACTTTCGTGTTTTATCGAATCGTCTATTGCATTATAAATACCATTATGCCGAATATAAACTTTCAGTTTAGTTTAGATTTGCATGCAGACAGACCACACCAAGTTACTCAATTTTTATAGGATCTTATATTGCATTTCATATCTTTTGGCTTATTTATAGCAATGCCAAATTATAATTTAGCAACTATTTTACGGTGATGGATGACGAGTGAATAAAATGTTATTGTTTGGACAATTTTAAATAACTATAACACTGGTATGATGAGATAGTTTTTCTATTCGGAACAATCGAGGATAATTTAGCACATATTACATTCGTATGAAAGTCTACACTTATATACTTGAAATTAATCAAACTTAGAATAGATATGCTATCGATTTCGATAAAAAGTGTTATTTCAGGGGGTGTTGGGGATTTTGGAGTGTTCGAGGAATGCCTTGTTGCTGAAGAATATGCCTTTGGGTGTACAGGAATAACTACTGCTATTGGAGGCACGAACCTTGGTGTGAGTGAGATAACAGCATCCACTATGATCGGATTATGTTCAATCTCGTCTTCAATCGGATTTGCTTTTTCGCTTTATTTTCATTTTTTTTTTTTTCATTTGGGATTGGTGTTCATTTCTAAGTTTACAGTGACCACTGCAGTATAGATACGATAAACATAACCTAATATTATCATTATCTGATACTGAGTAATCCGACAAATATTATTAAAAATAAACAGTATTTAAATTAGGTGATTTTTAAATATTTTTAGTAAAATGTAAATGTAAAATATAATAATAATATAATTGTTTTAAATAATCAGTATTACAATTTTGAACACAATTTTTTTATTTTGCGTTATTGATTATATATTTGAAATACGAGTATCAATTGAATATTTTATTGAATTTTAATCTGACATCAATCCAGCCAGTTCATGCACTAATATTTTTTGCCTTTATCGGTTATATTTCATTTTCTAATGGATTTCGTGGGAATTTTTTTGTGGAAGTTCTGTGTACCGGAATATATTCACTTTCGTCTAATATGTCTTATTTTTGTATGGGTATGATTGTATGTTTACTTCTAAGCTTATGTGGTTATTTTAAAGTCGATTGTTTAACGTATTCTACTAGATGTAAATCAGGTATAATATGTTTTATACCTGCCTATATGCCAGGCTTCATATTATTCTTATAGTGCGTTGTATAGTTTTCCTGCAGGTTTAGCAATCTAATCTGACAATAGCAAAATATATTTACACGCAACATAAAAATAATACACGTCCATACACTCTAAAGATAATACTTGTATAACTTTTTTATCTTTATCTTCTTTAATCTGTTACAAATATTTTAGGTAGATAAATGGTTAATATTTTTTTTGTCCAGAATATCTAACTTTTGAATAGTTAAAAAGTGAGAATGAATAGATCCTAACGGTATGTTCTAACACATTGTAATGTAACGAATCCAATGTAAATATTTTAAAATATGTACTACTTCTTATTTATGAATGAAAAACTTCACAGCTCTATGCTCACTATCCCCGTTCCGTATACCATAACCGTAACTCGCTACGTTACGGTTACACACACAAAAAATATTCCACATGTGGGTAATCCATATTATTCAACGCTCACTAGACCGTTCCATCACCGTAATGTGCCATGGTCGAAACGACGGCAAGAATATTTTACAGCTGATGAATCGCTCAGTACGTTGTCTGTTAAAATATCTAGTAACGTTGAAATGTTCATGAAACATTTATGTAAAAATGTATAACGTGTTTAGTATGATAGAATCGGAGTTGCTTACAGTGTACCGAATTTGTATTAGCGTATTAATTCATTGCAAAAAGCATCCTAGTTTCTGGATTTTTTGTTAATATCTGCCATACTCTTATTAAGGTGTGATAATGAGATAAAAATTCATCATTATTTATTATTTTAGTATTAACTTCACTCCCAATTAATTTATTTTGTATCATTAAATTTGTTTTCAAATATGCATACCTATTCACTAGTATTTTGACATTATTATATAAACCGCCAAAATTATATAGGTCGTATGAAACTTTTTTCTGTAACATCGGTAAACAACGTACAGTACACTAAATTCTATAGAAATAAATGAACGATGATAAATGAAAACGATCCAAGCTTTGAACACATTAATGTACTCTACTAATTTTATACGTTATCGTGCGAGAATATTATTTATTTTTAAGCTATAATATATTAAGAATTATGACTTCTTCTAAAATTATTTCACTACTTAAAAACTATTTTCATAGAAATGCCCACTACATTTTTTACGAAAGTTCGCATATCGATACAAATAAGGATATAGCGCGAGCGAAGCCGCGAGGAAGAGCTAGTATTTTAATATAGCATTTGGATATTATTCATGAAAAAATAAACATATTGCTCCATGTGAAGGTAACTTCATTTGGCTTGTCTAGGTGTAATATTCGTTTTATAAGTATTCATTGTAATGCTTCCACAGGTGGTATGGCATTGGGAGTGTTTGAACAATGTTTGGTGGCCGAAGAGATTGCTTTCGGGTGCACAGGCATAATGACAGCACTGGAAGCTAGTGGTCTGGGCGTGAGTGTCCTGGGTTGTCTGCCTAAACCCTATTTCCAAATAACTATTTTTAGATTTCACTATAAAATATTTTTCCATTCGGTATTAAAATTGGATTAGACTAAGCGAGTGAATCCTCACTACTTCCCTGTTCTTTTCATATTTCTTTCATGAAACATAAAAAAAGTTTACAGTTAATCTTTTATACTTTTGCGATGTCGCAGTTTTGAAAATAAATACAAAGGACTGCACATTCAATAACAGAAACATATAATATGAAACAAAAAAAGTATTATCAATATCTGTTCATTTTGTATACAATGTAAAATACAATTGAATTAAAATTATTCTCTTTCTTAAGTTTTATGACACAGTTTGATATAGATTGTGGTATTTGTGCTGCCTGTTTCTATTTATTATTCCCGTAAAATCTTCATAAATATCTTTAGTCTGTGCCTTTACTTACTTAACCATATTTGAGTTTCTTTTAATTACCCTTTACCTGCTTCTGTTTTTGTTTCCGAATCTTTAGTCTAAATCCACCCTTACAAATGGAACAATATTTTTCTGGTGTCATATGAATTCTTTTATTTTTTTTTTCCTTTTTAACTTTGGATTTCGGTTGAAAAAAGGAAATCATTATTGGTTCTTTGGAAATGTTGACAAAAAAGTAAGAAACAATAATTTTATGTGTGAGACCATTCAATGCATGATAATCTTTTACTTTAATGTAAATAAATTTTATTTTATACATTAATTCATTATATTTTAATTATCATTAAAATGAGTATTAACATTTTCATAAACTATACTAATGCTATATTTTCGTATATATTCTATACGTCTATTGTGAGGGTGGAAATAGTAACATTGATCTGCCCCTGCTCTAGAATCTAGATAATAATATTAAATATTATAATTTTAGGTTTCTTTAGTCAAATTAACAATATTGAATATTTATTATTACTTTATATCTATTAATTTATATGTAACAACAACATTTAGACCTTAAGCTGGACATTAATTTTGAACGAAACTCTAAAAAGTTAGATATCGTGAAAAATTTAAACACCAAAAATATTAATTTAGCTTATTTCATGACTCTGACTGTTTTCTTTTTAATACTAGTTTTCTAATAATACATTTATTATATATCGAGCCTTTTCAGGAAGAAGATCGTAAGCGCCAAAAATTCCAAAAACTTTTTTTAATATGAACCGCCAGATCTACTGATTTTGCACCTTATAGCTTATTTTAGTGTCCAAATTAGAAATGTAATTAACTTTATTAATATTCTTTGTTTTTATCGTAAGTTACAAGCCATTCGGTTTTTTAACGTAACCTCCACCGACTGACAGATCGTAAGTATAATACTTGTCGCTTACAATATAGTACTAGGTTCTTAAGTTTATTGTAAACTTCCTACTTGGCACTTACGATAATAAATTTATGCAACGTAAGTTAAATACTTGTCACTTGCGGTAGAAACAAAATGCGTTTTGCGTTGAGTTGTTCGTAAACTGTAACATTATTATACTCAAATAAATTAAATATGAATACCATAAACTTTGATAACTATATTAGAAAAGTTGCCAGCAGTTTCTTTTGAAAACCTTTGATATTTCGCAAATGCCACTGCCTTACACTAAATTGCATAAAATCGCAAGTTTAAGTCAAAATCTGACCGACGCGGCAAAAGCACGCCTTCAAATAAATACAGTCAATCTCAAACACAAAACGTAAATAAATTTATAAAAAAGATGCCTGTCGGGTAATCACACTATTGTAGAAACAATAGTAATAACCAACTGAATTTAGGGATGTGACTTATTTATATAGAAATTTTTACTTGAAAGATGATGAAACGAAAGATTTAGGTGCAGTAAGTTATCAAAAGTTTAGAAAAATATTTAAAACTGAATTTAACTTAGGATTTCACTTACCAAAGAAAGATAAATGTGGTCAATGTGAGAGAATAAAGAATTTGAATGATGAAGAAAGAAAAAATGATAGAATCGGTTGCTTACAAGAATCACATTAAGGACAAAGAAAGATCATTAAAGCTATTTCTAGAGGATCAAAAAATAAGCAAAGACAACAGAAGCTTTTTATATGCGAGCTATGATCTCGAAAAGGTCTTAACAACACCTCACAGTTAAAGTGTAAATTTCTACTATACTCGAAAACTTGCCTATTATTATGAAAGCGGTACCAGATCTGCATTTTGTTATCTTTGGAATGAAACGAAAGCGAAAAGAAGAAATTAAATCTGTACTATTATCTTTAAATACCTTAAAATGGTTGACGAGAGTAGGACTCAAAATGAAATTGCATTATACTGTGATAGTTGTGCAGGACAAAATAAAAATAAAACCATGATTTTAATGCTGTATTATTTCATGCAATATCATGCGAGTTTTGTTGAAAAGCTGACTGTAAACTTTCTTATTTCTGGACATACGATATGTCAGATGTATGATGCCAGTAGATTCTGTGCATGCGACAATAGAAGAATTTGTACAGAAAAGAACCATTAAGGCACCATCTGAATGGCAAACTTTGATTGGAAATGCTCGAACTAATCCAAAAAATATGAGACAATTCTTTTAAAAAATAGTGAAATTAAAGACTGGAATTCCTATGCAACAGCCTTCTTACCAAACAAAATTAAAATACAAACAAGCAAGCTGCTTAATGCTTGATTTCATAAAGGCGACAAATTCTATCTTAAATACGACTATAATGGACCCGAACAAGCTGTTGATGTTCAATCAACAAGCCATTTGTAAACCGAAGACTGTTAACACTGAAAAAATCCCATTTCGAAGGCAAAATATGAAGATTTAAAGAAAATGTGCTAAAAAGGTGTCATACCAGAAGTATATGCAAAAGAATATCTGGATTTGCCCTACGATAAAAACACAAGAGAACGAGACTAATGAAAACGACGACTAAGTTGTCTTTTTTGGTATTTCATTTTGTTAATAAAGCCAATTCATTTAGAAGTGATTAATGATTAATTTTTTTTTAACTTTTTTGTACTTCTGACACTTTGTCCGTCTCTGTCTGTCACTGTATCTCGTAAATACAGTTAAAAAAAAATCTTCACAAAAAATTATTTCTACTATTTCATGATATTTAGGAATTATCGTAATCGACATACTCATATCATATACCTAATAACAGTCATCAGTTTTAACGTAAGCGACAAATGTATGTGATTTTAGAGTACTGAGACAAATCTTAACATTTGATTTAATAGGGAGGTGCCCACATAACACTTAGTAGAAATTTGAAATTGATGCCATAAATATTTTGAGAAATATTTAAAAAAAACCTTCTCCTGTAAAATATGCAAAATGGCGGTTACGATGTTCTTCCTGAAAAGGCTCGATATGTTGTATATATATTTCAGACATCAAATCAAGATCAGTAAAAGATAACTGAGTATAAATAAATAATAATTTAAATAATTTCTGGTAAAGGTAAAAAAAGTTGTAAACTTTTTGTCATTAGCAACATATTTGTTTCTCATATAAAAGCTACTTTATATTAGTTGTTTATTTTTGTCGTCTTTAAGAATGGGAAGAAAAAAATACATCGGTACAATTATTTTGTTGCAGTAGTACATTGCATATTCGATTACGTGCTGAGATGAGTTGGCAATTCATTATCATTTACGATTAGTTTTCCATTAATACACTATACCTCGTTCCAGATAGTACATGCATATAAATAATATGGGTTACGTAAACAATATAAATATTGATACAATATTTAATATGTGTCATCACTCCCTTCGCGTACTAGTTACTTTTTATCACAGAGAAGAAAATAGAAAGGGTAAGGAAGAGTACCATACACTGTTAATATGTAATAATAATAATAAATTTATTTGAACTCAAACACAATTTACTAAACAGTGATTACTACACTAGGCTCGCAGGCCTGTTCCGTAGTAATCTGTGAGTGGCTTATTATTAACTTGGTGAACTTCGTATAGCGTCATCTATTTAAATTATTTCGAAGTAGCGATTCCCATACAAAATATTTTTATAATAATTTTAATGAATAAAAAGTAGCATCTGGAATGATGTAAGACATATTGCATGTATTACATTTTCATTGGGAGCTTTGATGCTTTATATTAATATCTTTTCACTAATTTGTAAAAGCACTATTTAAGTTTTTTCCCGTGGTTCTGGAGTACAGCTTTTTTGGTTTTCCAGCAAGCACCTGTAATTCTTGCTGGTAACAAGGAACAACAAAAGAAATACCTGGGCAGATTGATTGAAGAACCTTTAGTCGCTGTAAGTTAGTTATAAATATTTTAGTTCTATAATAAAGGTCAGATTGTGTGCTCGAGGTTGACTGGCAGGCTCTTTGATTTGCGTTGTAGGCCTTTATGATTAAGAGATTTGGATGATTCCGAAATTAGTCGAGATTTTCGACAAAAATACATTGAAACGATCTGATCCTTAAATTATAATGTATATTTACAAAACTTTTAGTTTTCGTATTACATATAATATACATATGATTTCTATAAATACGGCTGGTGTTATTTTCATAACGAATGAATTCCCATGTCATCTAAGTATTATACTAATAAGCGTATTCAAAATAAAATAGAATATATCTTTCATTAACATGTCTGCATAATTTATTATGCAGACATGTTAATAATTAATAATTTGTAATTTTATAATTGATAATTTGCATACACATATATGACAAACAAATGTCACGATTAAAAAAAAAATACAATTGATTCCAAATGACAACAATAATTCTAAAATGAGTTTAAAATATATTTTATACTAACCTACCCATGTGTATATAGGCATATTGTGTCACGGAGCCCGGCGCGGGTTCGGACGTCGCTGGAGTTAAGACTAGAGCTGAGAAAAAGGGCGACGAATGGATCCTGAACGGACAAAAGATGTGGATCACCAACGGTGGTGTTGCTAACTGGTAATGTTATTTCAAATTGAGAAATTTTTATAATATTTAAAATGCCAAACAAACTGACGGTCCATGTAATGAAAAGTAGTAACCATTATTTTTACAAATATAATTGATACAAAAGTTTTAAATCCGTCGATTCTGTAATTTCGCTAAATGTATATCTATAATTAAGACTCTATTTTTTATCTAAATTTGATATCATAGCGAAAAACTTATTTTAAGGATTAACATAAACTAAATTTCTAAAACATTTAAGTCAAAATTATTATAAATAAATCTAATTTGTGATGGTCCATAATACAGTAGTTGCGCGAAACTATCAATTTAAAATATTAGGTCAAGAGATAAGAGAAATGGCGCGTCAGAATCTGCTGCACTGTAACAGATTTTTTTTATTAAATTTGGAATGGAATATCTGTTGGATCACTAGATGAAAGGTGATTACCGTCGCCTATAGATATGAATGAGCATTGTGACTATCACAGAATACACAATGATCCTATCATACCTGTCATACGTTGCCATTGCAGAGGACTAACCAACGATCAAATCGAAACACATCTATGTAAAAAGTACAAATGCTTGGCGCAGTAACACAGGTAGCTGAGTGTTGATGATAATTACATAATTTTTTCTTTGAATTTCAGGTACTTTGTCCTCGCTCGCACAAATCCCGACCCAAAATGCCCACCAAGCAAAGCCTTCACTGGTTTCATCGTTGAGAGAGATTGGCCTGGCGTGACTCCTGGCCGTAAGGTAAATCATATTTTATAAAAATACTAGCTTTATATTCACTTCATATGGTGCGTGTATACCAAATGTCGTAGTGATTGGTTATGTCATTATGGCATTAAGAGGTAACAAACAAACTCACATTTATATTTATTATTAAGGAAACCGTTTCAGTCTCGAAATTATTAACATCTTTTTAGGTAGTGTTCTACTAGTAAAACTGAACATTTTTACCGAAGATATTCAGATAGAAAAATAAAAAAAATATCCCATCCAAATTAACAATCGGGTGCACTGTGTATTTTGTAATTCTGAACTTTTGATATACGAAATTTCTATCCTAAAAATGTATAGTCTATACTCGTAGTATGGGTAAATGTTTTATGTAAATAAAACGCTAACGACTTCTATTTCACGCTATAAACTGCTAGTAGACAATTTTCGGAAAACTGTTTTAAAATTTATAAGTGCGTATTTTAGACTTACAATTATTTATTTCTTTCTAAATAATTTTTTTTTGCTTTTATATTGTTTGACACAGAGAAATAAGTTTGTTTTCAACTACATATAGCAAACTAAAATCCTATTTTTGTATTTCTCTCTATAACCACAACCAATCTGTTCTCATTAGAATAAGATTATTATTATTCTTAGATTATATAAATGATAATTTATTATACCTACACAATTTATTATACAAACACATTATTTTACAAATATATATTTCATTGTAATTAAGGAACAAAACATGGGTCAACGCGCTTCGGACACACGAGGCATCACATTTGAAGATGTTCGCATCCCCAAGGAAAATGTGCTCATTGGTGAAGGCGCTGGTTTCAAAATTGCGATGGGTGCATTCGACAAGACTCGACCTCCGGTATGATACTTTTTATGTACTTTTATATGAATGTATAAAATAAATAAATGTAGAGAGCTTAAAATATTAAGGTATCTTAACCTTAATATATCTTACCATACCATACTACCAACTTCATTAAATTCACCTAATTGTGTGCCTAATTTAGGCCCAATTTGGCTCCTCCTTCTCCTAAGTACAGTTTTTTAGAAAATACCGTTTTCCTAATATACTGAGAGCCAATTACACTTCGCTATCGGGATACCAAGTGTAATGGTGAATTAACAGTTTATTAGTTTTGGTTTTAAAGTTTCTGTTTTCATCAATCAACACAATATAAAGAAAAGAATTACCTACTTTTCATACAGTAGTTTCACGAAGGAATCTAAACAAGGTAATTTTCGGGACGAGGCAGGGGTGGAGGGGTACCAAACTTGTCAAAACTATAAAAGACTAACGCATTAATTTTATTATTTGAATACTATATTTTTTTTTTTGTTAAATAGTTTATTCATATTTCAGTTTTTGATTTATTTGGGTTTCTGATCTAAAAAAATATAGTATTTTCGTGTTTTAACAAAAAGGTCATCTTTTTGAGGTCAATATTTTTTTTCCAAGTTTTATTAAATCATTGTCTCATTTATTTTCTACCAACTTCAATAAAATTATTAATTTAGATTAAAATTAAATTAGCTAATTTGGTTTTAATTTTTTACTATTGAAGAAGAATTAACTTGACCAATCTTGCCTATTTCTGGCTAAACTTGAATACATTGGACCAAAGTGGCCAAACTATACCAAATTCGATGTAAGTGATTAAACTAAGCTTAATTTAGCTTACCTTGCTTAAACTGACTAAAATAGCACAATTTGACCAAACCAAGCCAAATTGGGCCAAACTTATTGAACTTTAAATAAACTGTCCTTTGGCCAAACTTGTCCAAAGTTAACGCTTATAAAGACTGGACTCCACACTCGACTCGGTTCCACTGAACTTAATTAAACTAACTTACTAATTTGGTTGATTCGAGTCGAGTTGCTTGGAACTTACAATTAATTTATTTATTCGAATTTAGAACTTAGATGTTTGTATGATACTTTATAGTTTAGAATTTAAAAAAATATTCAAAAGTATTAAAATTTGAAATATAAAATTATTCAGAAACGATATTAATATCAAAAATTTGACAACAGTAATACTCAAATTGAGAATCTTTTCTTTTGAAGTGGATTGACAATAAATGTGAGATCCTTTGCGACAAATGTGGCATGACAACAGATTTGTATGTATGTATGTATGTATGAAGACTTTTTACACTAAATATTATCATGAATCTGAATCCAGTGAATTTCAGCTGGTATTCTCACTATTTCAAATTATGTAAATAAAATACATCTGTAATGGTAGTATATGAATAAAAGATTGCGGTACACTACAATCATTCATGTGTATTATTTAAATATATTTGGTTTTTAAACCGCAGGTAGGCGCAGGTGCTACAGGTCTTGCGAATCGTGCGCTGTACGAAGCGACAAAATATGCTCTGGAGCGCAAAACCTTCGGTGTCCCGATCGCCAATCACCAGGGAGTGGCGTTTATCTTAGCAGATATGGCCGTTGGTGTTGAAACTGCTCGGCTAGCGTGGATGAAAGCAGCCTGGATGGTTGACCATGGTTGGTATATTAAACATAGGAGTCGGTCATATTGATACGTTAAGTGAGTGGTTTGTAAAATGCTTCTTATGGCCGTTGGCGGCTTTCAGCGAGTAACAAAAAGATTGAAAATATTAGGGGTTGGATTTGGCGATGGGGACGGTTTGAATAGTTATAAAATAATAATAAAATATCGTTACATAAAAATGCTACTATAATCTTAACAAAATGTATATGGAACGAAACGAAGTAAACTATCGAATGTAAAAAGAAATACTAAAATTGGTTTAGATTACTGAATATATTGTATAACATAGATCCGTATCACATTATATCGATACAAAAATATGCGTTCGCCGCTTCCATGTGACATTTCGCTATTATTTTTAAATGAAAACTAATTTATGATACTTAACATATCTTTACATTAATATTTCCTTGTTTAGTGATATATTTTTATTTTAATGGCTTCATAACCCACAATGATTACTTTATTTGTACAAATTACGTACGTATTCAAAATGACAAGTAGACGACCTGCTTAACATAAGCTGGCAATCATCGCCTGACATGAATAGAGCTATGGGCTTCGGTATCGCTTATGGTACTCCACATGCGTCGATATTCCGATGAAAAGCAGTGAATTTTACAGTTGACTGCAACACATACAATTATAACAAATATTTATACACAGGTCAAAAGAACACAGTGCTCGCGTCTGTCGCAAAACTACACGCTTCCGAAATCGCCAACAAGGCAGCCTCGGATGCGGTCCAGATCTTTGGCGGTAACGGATTCAATACAGAGTACCCGGTAGAAAAACTGATGCGGGATGCGAAGATCTACCAGATTTACGAGGGCACTTCCCAGATCCAACGAGTTATTATATCAAGAGAACTATTTTCAGCCGCTAAACAGGTCGCTTAAAAGCTATGGTGGTTTCTTTATATCTAGTACTGATAATTTTATATGAATATCGTTAATTGATATAATTATTAGTATATGCAAACTAATTAATATTTTTTATTTATATATATATAAATATCTCAGTGTTTATATATCTATATCATTAAATCGATTTTTTTTATTGATTTTTTTTCTTTACTCTCTACCTATCTATATCTACCATGAAGGCATGAACGTTTAAACGAAATTTTGGTGCCGGATAAAATGTAAATTTAATAACAAATTACGAAATAAATGCTGTCAAAATCTACCGAATGAACGTAATTTTTAATAATCATTAATTCCATTTAATGAAAATGAATATTCGGAATTTGCACAAATGAGATAGCTAGAAGTACCATAGTATTTTGATAGTCGGTGAGTGTGTCAGTGACAAAATTAAGAACTTCAGTGATAATTAATAATCTATAAGGTACAATTGTTATGAATATTGGCAACATAACCAGTTACATTGATCACTACAAACTAAAACTTTATTCGTATTGAATTTAAAGAGGGCGGGGGAGATCAAAAGTGTCGTGAGTCGTTTCAAGAAAAGGATGGTATACCTCGACTCTCCAGGGGTATCTCTGAATGTAATATATAAATAGGGTAAATGTATAAAAATAGAGTGTACTATAAATACTATTCAATAAAAATAAAAAAATAAATTTCAGAATATTGCAAAATGAAACACCAAAGTTTATTAAAAAAGGAATGAAATAAAATTAAATATCCTGACTTAGTCATCAACGCATAGCTGAAACTACTAAAGCTAGAATTACCTTAGACAATAGATCCTTTTATGATCTATATTGGTAATAAGGAAGGATTTTTAAAAATTCAACCCCTAAGGGTGTAAAAATAATTGAAGTTTGTATAAGAAAGTAACTATATGTTGTGTGTGTATGTATGAATGTATGTGTGTGTGTGTGTATGTATGTGTGTGTGTGTGTATGTATGTGTGTGTGTGTGTGTGTATGTGTGTGTGTGTGTGTGTATGTGTGTGTGTGTGTGTGTATGTATGTATGTATATATATATATATATATATATATATATATATATATATATATATATATATATATATATATATATATATATATATATATTATTAAGGGATTAAAGTCAAAAATTCAGGGTAAAATATTTATTCGATTACTTTCTGAAATAAAATAAAGATTTGATTGAAGTTTCGGGTGTAAATAAGATAATAATTAATATGAGAAATATTTAATTAAATAAAGTCAATGAAATCGGTCGAAAAATATAATTATATATTTGCCATACATACAATTTTTTTTATGAAATTTATACTTTTGAGTCTTATCCCAACTTAACACCTAAGTAGAATATATAGTAATTAACGAGAGAAAAGTCATGAAATACAACTACTAGTAGATATAATTTCGATCGTTTCTTTCCTATTAAATGAAGTGTTCATCAATCAATACTCAATATTGATATGAATGTAGTGTGACAATATTTTAGTCCTATTCGGAATAATGGTTCATGGTAAAACTTAAGAAAACATGAGCATGTATGAACATAGAGGAATTAAGTTATCGTTATCAAAGCAAAGGATGTTGGGTTCTACCATTCTGTTAGTTGAATTACTAGGTATATTAGTTGCTTTAATATCTTCTTTCCTATAATGAAAAGATGTCGTTTGTAGTACACAATAATAAATAGCCGTTTATTAAAAAAAGATAGCGATGACTCATATGTATGCTTACAACCATAAATATTATATAAAAGGCAATCATCATTTCTTTGCATTTTCTCATTTATTTGGGGTAGGCGCAGTATGTCTTCTTACACAAATCCCTGTCCACACCAATCCACTTTCATACTTAACACTTTCTTTAAAACATAGCTTTCATTTCTGCTTATAATAGGACCATACCAAGACATTTTTGTGATACCTAGCAATTTCTCCGTTATTGGTGCAGCTATATATATATATATATATATTTTATATTCCGTGGTTAATATTCGTCTTATTTTAAACTAATCATAGGAGGGGGCGTAACTTTTTATTTATTTATAGATTAATAAATGTTTTATCTCTTATTTATAAATAAAAAGTGCTAAGTGATTACTTCAGATTTGATGCCTGTGTATCTACATTTTTGAAAATTCAAACACAATTTGTGTTCGGGGATATTTTTGATGGATAGAACTAGTTCCAGTATCGTATTATAATGGCAGAATAAAAGTTTGTTGAATATAAAATATAGTTTATTCTATACTAGCGACCCGCCCCGGCTTCGCAAAGGTGCAATACCCGCTATGTCCCTGCATTTTAAATCTGTAATATCTTCGGATATATTCAATTAAATTACATGCTGTAAAGAACCATATTGATTTATATTAAATGGACAATGTATTTAAGGTACTTAATTGGATAAAAATTAATGCTGTATAGCTTAAAATTACTTCGTAAAAAAGCTATTTTTCCCTGGAAAATGTAAAGGATAAAAAATGGTTATTGTGGATTATCCTTAAGAGATAGACATATACCATCGCGGACTTTTTATTGACCTTTTTATGGTGTACAATACTATAGAACATTATTTTGATTTATCTCGTGGGATTCAACCAGCGTTTGCAATGTAAACGCAAAAAATGTGTTTATTTACGACATCACGTTACAAACCTCTAAATTTATCAGTGATTCTCTACAATATTATGCATGTATATTATACATATAAACCTTCCTCTTGAATCACTCTATATATTAAAAAAACCGCTTCAAAATTCGTTGTGTAGTTTTAAAGATTTAAGCATACATAGGGATGGACAGACAGCGACTTTGTTTTATACTATGTAATGAAGTAAACATAGGAACCAAAGGAAGACTACAAAAGTCTTCTGCATGAATACCTTTGTCCCATCCGTATTTCTGCGGTGAAGTAGCTGTGCTTTTATGACTATATTTCAATTTGAAGGGTGGGATATGGCACTGAAATTACAGACAATGAAAGTAAAGCATTATCTTTAGGAAAGGCAAGACATGAACGTCGTCTGCGCTACATTGGTGGGGCACCAGTATGATATGATAGGTGCGTAAGAAATAAGTCAGTTAGCTTACATTAGTAGCAACGATCGTTGTCAGGGAGATTGCGTGAAATTAAACTTGTTGCCAGATAAACAGTGGGACCGTTCAACCCCATTACTAATAATCCCTTTTCCCTTTGATTGCTATAAGTTAAATAATGACAGTATGTATGAGTAGATAAATGTGTACGGTTTTTTATGAAACTAATAATGACAAACTGATGAAAAGTGGTTACCATCGCTTAAAGATATAAATAGCAATGGACATACATTTTTTGTGGTATCTCCTAGTCCCTTTTACTGTGAGGAAAGAGATTGTTAGTAATGGGCTCTGACAACCACATTGCTAGCAATATACCCTATAAGGTTGAGCTATATGCGGTTCCCCTGGAAATAATAGTGGTTAATGAATTTGCCACGACGGATGCACTGACCTGGTTTCATTATAACCTATCATTACTTACTGGTATACATATAGTGCAGGCGGGGCTACTATTCCATTTTCACCTATAAAGAAATCCCCTTTACTAATAATTCCTGTACATGACAATAAAATCGCACCGCACCTACAATTTCTATAAGTCTAGAGACCACTAACGTTGGCGTCTTTAAGATTATTCTTCAGAGAGGGGGCGGGGCACAGACATGTCTTTGCGAAGCTTCGTTCACATGTTTGGGATATCAGACAATTCTAGGGTGAGCTCGGATTTTAGTTTGAATTAATGATCTTGTTTATGCCATGCAGGATAGATGTGTCATACTATTCACAGATGATACTTTGATTTTTAATGTTGACAGATTGGTAAAAAATTATGACGATGTATAGTGATATGCTACGTTTCTGCTTGGTTGGAGGTCGACCTCCTCGCAGTTCCCCCTGGAAACTATCATGGTTAATTCCTGATGAATTCATCATGATGAGCTAACTGGCCTGTTTTCATTCTCATCTATCACCCTTCACTGGATGCTAATGGAATAGTAGCCCTGCCTACGCTAACGGTATACGCTGACAGGTTTATATTGTTAGCAATGGGACTGGTAGTACGCATTACTAACAACCCCTTTCCCCCTTTGATTTGCGTAAAGCAGCCGACATCCATAATTGTTTTACAAAAATGTGCTATTCGCGGGATTTTTCTATGGGACATTGTGAAATTTAAAGAAGCAAATATTGAGACAATTTGCTTTACAATACATATACGCAAATATTTTGTATATACTTGTGTTGTATATGTTACTTAAAAACAGCGATCTTAATAATCTTAACACTAGATAAAAATTTAAACTTGTTGTTCCAAAGTATCGTTTAGATAAAATTAATAGACTTTTATGGAAAAGGGCATTAATGTTATAATGTGATACCGATATTTTGAATTAACCTTTTAATAAATTTAAAACTGTTATTAAAAAACACTTACTGAACAAAGCCTGTTATTCACTAAACGATTATTTGAAAGACAAATATGCATGGTTTTAGTCGATCATGCATGGCTGTTTAGTAATCATGTAATTTTAGACGTAGTACATTTAAATAAAAATTAATGTCACTAGAAATTTAAAAAAGTGTCTGTTGAGTTTCTTACGGATTCTTCACAGAAAACATAAATGCAGTAGATCGATAAAATAAATGTAGATTTAAAAGTGCTTATAAACAACTCTATTTAAATGAATTGATTTGATTTTTAATTTGATTAATATATTAAATGTTTCGATTTGTTAATAATTTTATTGAGCCAGTGTTTCTGTGACAATTTCAACAAAATCAGGTTACCTTTTCATTTATTTATTTACTCGTATTTATAAATTGCTCACTACACATACAGTATCCCAAAATTTGTAGTGAGCCAGAGGTTTATTTTACAAACTTAAAAATTTTAAACAACATTTTGAAAGTCTATTTAATTTATCATTAAATATATCAATATCTCGCTGTTGAGTAATAAAAAATTTAAGCAGAAAAATAGCCTGATAAGTGGGATTAATCTGAGCAGTACAGGTGCGAACCGGTGATGCCGATAGTTTTTTTTTTTTTTATATTTTTTTTAAAACTATAGATATTGATAACGACAATAATCGACAAACACGCAATCGCATGCAGCATTGGGGAGCGTAGAAAGAACAACCACTGAAAGTTGCAGGATTGTCTATTCTGCCGTTGACCAACAGATAAAAGTGCACTATTAAATTGCACTTTCGCCTTATCTCGAGCGTTTCTATACCTATCGGATACCATATCGGATACGAACAGCGATGGGTACAAATAAGGATAGTAGCCGTAAAGTTTATTATAAAGAAAATGAGCCAATTTCCTCTGAATTTTTTCTAACATTTTCTTATATTATGTTTCATGAGGGTTCCAAATTAATTTTTAAAATTCATACAAATGAATAATATAATAATATCGCACCTTTATCTTCAAGTTGGGCCGACTGTCTTATCACAAAGTCTAATGATTTATATGCACGACTACAAATGATGGTTATAAGATTATTATAAATTAAAACAGTGTCTAGCGTAAGGGCCTAAATTGCGTATTTGTAACACGCGTTCAAGCGGCGTACCAGATATACTGTAGACATAATTATGGGGAACACGAGAGCACGTGAATATAATAGATTTACACTTTGAAACATAAAATTACAAGTGAATATGATCAGTGCATGCCATAACGTTGTCAATATCTCGCTGTAGAGCTTTACAATCTTCCATAGTTCCGACAACAATGAATAGCTTCAAAGTGTCAGCAAATATGAGACACTGAGCAGTGCTAACAACATCTGGCAAGTCATTGATCATAATTAGGAACTGCAACGGACCCAGGATACTACCCTGGCTTACTTCGGAGCCGGTAACATAGGATTCTGATCAATAACCGTGTATGTAGTTGGACATATTGCGAGCGATCAGAAAAATAGCTTTTAAAGTATAATTTTTAAAGTTTTTGTGTAAATAATTTTAATAAAATATCATTGAGAACGTGATCAAATGCTTTTTTTTAATCAAAATATGCCACGTCTTCTTGTCTATTCTGATTAATTTCAGTAACCGAGTATTTCAGTAAGCAAAACTGATCAGACTTGTAGTAGTCAACCTACCAGATCTGAATCCATTCTGGCAGTTTGTTAGATGAGACTGGAAGAAGCCTAGAAGAGATTTCTATTAAAGCAGATAGACAGGTAGATACTTTAATCACTATTTGTATTTACCTTAGGTTTTTATGAATAAAATTCGTCTTCATGAAACACTGTTGACACTTAACAAAACTCTAGTTTTTGTTAAGAAAGATTTTTTAAATATAAATTATACCTACTTATCTAAGTTAAATATTATATTAAACTTCTAGAGCTAATAAACTATGATCAGTGCGAAGTGCACAGACAGAGTGGTTTTATTTTTGTTTACTTTTTTGGCTGTAACTTGTATCATCATCATCATCTCAGCCATTACCTGCTCATTGTTGGACATAGGCCTCCCACATAGATTGCCATAAGGAACGGTCTTGAGTCAACTGCATCCACTGACTCTGCAATGCATTTGAGATCGTCAGTCCATCTAGTACGGGAGAGTATCGCCCTATACTGCCTTTGCCCGTACGGGGTCACCACTCAAGAATCTTTCTTCCCTATCGGTTGTCGGTTCTTCCGAGCTATGTGAAATGTCACTTCAGCTTGCTTGACCTTCAGGCTATGTCGGTTACTTTGGTTCTTTTGCGGATATCCTCATTTCATAGACTTTTCGATAGGGGGAAAGGGATTGTTAGTAATGTGTACTACCAGTCCCATAGCATAGCTAGCAATATACTGTCAGGTTGACCTTCACGTGGTCCCCTCTGGACACCATCGTGTTGAATTCCAGGTGTATTTATCACGATGGGCTAGCTGACCGGTCTTTTCATTTCCACTTATAATCTTTTACTGGTGTACCGCCAGCGTATAACGTTAGCGCACGCGGGGTTACCATTCCATTATTATATACGTGTATTAAAAAAAGTCCTCTCTATAGCCCGCTGAGTAATTTGAAGCTTTTGCATAATGGCAATCGTGTAGCGCCATGTTTCGGTTCCATAAGTCTTCATTAAAGACTTTCGTCTTCCAATTTTGAGGTATTATTGAATAAAAAAGTAGTTTTCCTAACTACGTTTACCTTTTATTTAATTTTTTTTATTACTTGCCATGATCAAGTAAGATTAATAAAATTGCTAACATGGAAATAGTAATTAATTGGTAAGTAAGTGCAATGATATTGGTATACCATATTTAAGGTTATTACGTACAGCGGGCCTGGCCCATTTAAATAAGGCGTATATTTACTTTTTGACATAAATCTACGAAGCTTCGATCGTATCTTAAGGGTGGGCAGGGCCGTTCCGCCCTCTTCCCACCCTTTTTCCCTATGTACTACTATGTATGTGTATGTGTCTATATAACTTAATTTTACTTGTTTGAGCATTAAACAACGTACATATTTATGAAAATGAAATAAGTAAAAGATTCATTAAACTTAGGCCTCATTAGAAATTTATGATATAAATGGGAATGTGAAATGGATGTAATAATAAATCACTCCATCTAGTGTTTAATAATATAAAATAAGGTTATGAGTATCTACAATGGTAAAGTAGATGTCACTACGAGTCTGAATAATAATAGTGGTGGTAAAATCTGTCAGTAAAATGCAAATACACTGAAATAAAATATATATATACATTCTTTTTATTCTTTTATCACAAGTATTAAGTACGTAAAAGATTCGTTTTTTGCCTTTAGTATACAACACAATCATGTTAATATTACTTCATTTTTAAATACTGAAAAAATAATTCCTGTATAACGCCATCTTGTATTTCTTCTATAAACAATTTATTTTTAAGGCATAACTTTTAGATGGCGTCGCGGCTACCGGAAGAATAAAATTATTTAACGTCTAAAACATATATATTATTAGAATAATTAATACTCATAATCAAAAAATATTACTTTATAATAATTGTACTTTGAAAATTGATTAATATTTTTTTTATTAACATAGAAAATAATAAATTTGCAATCATACTTAATAAAGATTGACCCACTTTCAGAGCCCTTGTGAAAGGATTGTGCAATAGAAACGGTCATTTATTACACAACACAGAGCATTCATAAGCAAACGTGCAATTTTGCATCGTTTTCATGATTTTTAATCCAGCATACTGCTTCTGAAATAAAGAAGTGATAGTATTTTCAGATATTTTTTGACCTGTAAGTCTTTTTGCATTCAATTTAGGCTAAATATTATTGTTTGAATATTATATTTATTTTATTTATATTCCATACTAAAATAGGTAATGACATAGTTTTATTAAAAATTAGGTTAATTTCTTACTGCCCTTTACCGACATATTTCAATGTCAGTCATGAGTACAGTAGCTCTATTGAACCCGAGTTATGTCGGTCGGAATATCAAAGTGTAAGTGAAGTGGCCTAGAGACCTACATTTTGTTTTTAAAACGCATTATCGCTTAAAATAAGCGATTTTTGAGATAAAATATTTCTTTAAAGGACGCCGGTGATATTTTAAAGACTGTGGGGTGGAATAATAAAGTCGCCTCGTTCGATATTCGTGTATGATGCACGAAGACGCTCCAAAAATGAGTGTAGCGCAGAGTCTGGTCGCCTCTACGAGCCAGGCAAAGAGCGAGATCGTGACCGATGTCCAAATGGATTACGATTTGAGTTCTACAGAACCTAAACCACCAGAGGCTATAGGAATTGACTTAAAAATCGCCTATGTGGATCCTGCGAATGGTACGTACTATTTCCTATTACGTCTTTAGTAAAATAATAAATAGGTACCTATATCAAAAAAATATTTATTTTCTATTAGAATTTTATTAAATTTAATCCAAACAGATTATGAATTTCCGTAGTCAAAAATAACAATGTCATTTATTGAATTAGATTTTAGTAAGAAGAGAAATATGGAAAATACGTAGATAGTTGCTGCATCTGATAGTACAATGAGCATTCAAATTAGAATCTACTAAGACACGTCTGGGACATGAGGCCTTAGAGAAAATTATGAATATCATTATTCTAGGAGAGGACAAGTGTTGTATAATAATACCTACACACATTACGTTGTATGCATTGTGGAGGCTACCTGCTCGTACGCTCGGCTGCTCGGTGTGGCAACGCCGCATTGGTTTTTTCGCGCTATCCTGCGATAGAGTTGCTCTAAAGAACAGACTTTAGAGTTAGGTACTGACTGAATAGTAGTAGGTAGCTCACGGAACATGTTTCGAGAATAGTTTCGTTGTATAATTAGCTTAACTTCCATCTTGCGGTGAGTGAACGAGTGTGTTCATGTATTGTCTCACCGTTTCGTATTCAGTCTGTGATGCGACGTCGTATTTTGATTTCATTCGGTGTCAGTAGGGCACGTTTGCTTGTCTGTGGGCTGCTGTAGCCCGATCACGACATCAGCCGTTGCAGCATATTAAGCAACTGCACGTAAACTACACTACATTACTTTATTATTCTTTCAGATCCGTTTGATATTTAACAGATTAGGTATACCTAATATACCTACCTATTGCTGCTATAATGACGCGTTGTTGCGAATGTTCTGGTTATATTTTCGGAAGTAGGGCAAACGATGATTCTGTTTGGAATCTGACAAGTGGGTTGTAGTAATGTATTGGATTATATTGGTATTATGGGTGATCCACACAATTTATTAATGTGGGACAGGCGTTAAATACACAGGTACTTATAAGCATAGACAAGTGCTGAAAACATTTGAAGATTATATACATACATAATTGTGTAATTATGTTCCTATATAATATAATAATCTACCAAAAAAATGCTGCTCCAGTATGTCCAATACGAATATATCCCGTTATTATTTCATGAGATTATCGTTGGTTTATTAAATATACCTACATTAGAGTAAAGTAGAGTAAATATTTATAACGTCGCCTTGTGGTGCCAGCATAGAATGGGCCAAGAAAGGGTTCTTTTCCCGTAGATGTCGTAACAAACTACTATGGGAATTAAATGATCGAGGGACGGTCAGCAGCGTTCCTCTGAAAACTTCACCAAAGCCTAACTGCGGTTGCCAACCCGCCTGACAAGCAAGGTAACTATTGGACCCTCCCCCCCTCCAAGAGGGTAGTCTGGAGGGCTAAAATAATATTATATAATCTAATATATAAAATTCTCGTGTCACGGTGTTTGTTACCAAACTCCTCCGAAACGGCTTTACCGATGTTTATGAAATTTTGTGTGCATATTGGGTAGGTCTGAGAATCGGCCAACATCTATTTTTCATACCCCTCAATGAGAGGGGTGACCCAGCTCTAATTTTTTTTAATTTTTTTGTCAATTTTTCTTTATTTTATTATTATTTAGCACTGAAAAATACATACAAATTAAAATTTTCACGCTTTGACGATCAATCACTGTTGTTTAATCGCAATTTTTATATGCCGCAATAGGTTTGCAAGATGACAATCGAATATAATAATTGTAGTACAATATATTTTCTAGAATATAGTTCTAGAAATAATGTATATGGCAAAACAACGTTTACCGAGTCAGCTAGTAAATAAAATAATATTTATCTGATAAAATGAAAAAGCCAAAATAATTAAGTTATTTGTAATTGGTCTTTTGTAGGAATGAATGTCTTTTAGGGGTTAATACATGGACCCTTTATTATCCGTAAGAACTCTGTGTAAAGATAAATTAACGATCTTCATTGTACCAGCAATACTGCTGATCTATACAGATGTGGCGTTTACAAATTATACATTGTTGATTTTTAAAGGTTAATAGTCTTTTGTTCCATCTGTATTGTTTTTAATAACATTGAATGAAACGAGCATGCGGCTCATCTGATGGTAAGTTATTATTGCCGCCCATAGGCACCGACAATATCAGAGAAATTGCAGGAGTGTTGCACGAAGGAAGATGCTCTTTCCTTGAAGGTTTTAGACTGCTGGGAATTTCATCTATAATTTTATTTACAATAATATTAAATTATACAACATATATATATATATATATATATATATATATATATATATATATATATATATACCGAAATAATTATTCAATAAAATAAAATTGGCATGTATGGGAAGAACTTGTGACGGATGTGCAAAACTGATATAACAAATTTAATAATGACAAATAAATTTTTTAATAAAGGTAATCCGGACTCATACAATTTTTATACAAAATAATTTGTGTTAAATTTAAGTGCAGTCGAATATTTTTATTCTTATTCATTATTTTATCTTTCAAAATTAAACGACAAAATAAGCAGTTTAAGGAAGCGTCTTTTGATGACTATTATAAAAGCTTGCCATCAATGAAAAACTTGATTAAAGAGAATAGACGAATTACATAAAAAGAAAAATCAGCACATATATCAGATTGAGTCAGGAAGGGTTTTCTTGAACCTTTCCTGACTCAATTTGCGTTATTTTATACGAGCATTTTAAATATACTATCGGGACTCATATTGAAAAATATACGAGTATTTTAGAGTGAGGAGGATAGATTCACAATGGATGTTGAGTAACCTCCTCGCCGGAATGATGTCGTGACATAACAGTTGAACTTGAAACACTTATCTCGCTGTTTACCATATTATTTTATGTGACGAGTTTTGGATATAATATTATGTTTCGAAAATAAAACGCTAGTAAAGTTTTTGCTGTTTGAAGACAAAAAAAATGGCGACCAAAGTAAAGTGATTGAAAAAAAAACTAAGATCTTAATATATTTTTTTTAAATTCACTTATAGAGAATATTAGATAGATATCAGTTCCTTTAACAAATCCATATAGTATCAATTCTCATGAAATGTTTGTTTACACTTCTAGCAAAGTTGTTTACTGATTTGAGCAACAAACCACTGCTTCGCCTTGAAAAGGGCTCTTGATCTCTACGTTTAACACGAGGAACTCGCAGTGCTCAAACTTTTGGTTCCCTCAGGTACAGCTTTACCTTGAAATGCGGCTTCCCACGCTATATATTTAAAATTACTAACTTAGAGTAAATAAACCTTTGTGTTCCTCAAAATACTGCTTCGCGTTGAAAATATGCCCTTGCCCTTTGAAAACTAGAAACTAGTAGTAATAAAACTTTTGGGTCATTCATGGTATCGCTTCGCCTTGACAGTGCGTGTCCTTGCACTCTGTTTTTGAAACTAGGAACTTAGAGTAAATAAACTAGTATTGCTTCACCTTGACAATGAGAGTAATTAAACTTTTGGGTCTTTCGATGTACTGCCTTAAGAATAAGGGTTATTGATAGAAATGACGTTTCTGAAAATTCAATAAGAGCAAATATTAAATTCCTCCTTAGGGCATAGGGTGTATTTTTTATACCATTGAGGTACAGATACAAGCATACGGCTCCCTTGATGATAAGCGGTTACCTCAGCCTACGAACATCTACAATACCAGGAGTATTACGCGCGTGTTGACAATCTTGAAGAAACCTTTTTACCTCTTTTTTTAAGAACCCCATGCTGTAGTCTCTTGGAAAAACTTCTCATTCCATAAACTTAGCGTCGTGGGAGAAAACACGCGACCTGATCTGACCTGATCTGAACGTGACCATCTAGACTATAAGGTATAAGGGTGAGCTCCGTGTCGATGGCGAGCTATACGATGGTAGAAAGTGGCCATGGGCATTATATTGAACAATTCCTCTGAGCACAGTCCATAAACAAGCGGTAGAATACGCAGAATGAAGTAAAATCTCTTCTAAGGCTTAAGAGTTCGATACAGCTTGTAAGCCTGAGATCATCGATAATTATCATAGCTCGTCGTTGCACTGAGTCGAAGGGTTCAAGCTGGTATCTAGATGCTCCCGACTACAAGTGACAGCAATACTGTATGTGGGCGTGGATTTGCAATTTATGAAGTATTGCTTCACTCTATTTCATCTTATCTTCGAGATGGCAATGAAACTGTACATCATTAAAGATGTCGACACCAAGGATCTCAATGCTTTTAGAGATGTTAAGAGACGTGCCCTGGAATTGTGTAGCCACAACTGTTAGCAATGGGACTGGTAATCCGCGATACATATAATCCCTTCCCGCTCGTACCATGTATTAGGTTAGATATAACAGCATATTGCTCAAATATATCGATGTGTAAATTGCTATTGTATATATTCTCGTTATTTAAAAAAAGTATATCTAACTATAATTAGACGTTATAGCAATAGCATAACTATAATTAGACGATGTCTGTACATGGGAGATATTTAATAAAAATTGATATGAGGGGTCCATGGAAGTCAAAATAATATTTTTTAGAAATTTTGTCTGTCTTGCAGTATTTTTAGTTATTTATTATTTTTGAAGAAAGCTTACAGCTATAACTTAAAAATTAAATCTATATAACAACAATAAGCTAATTAAAAACTACCACATAGTTGACGAAAATTGAATTAGTTACAGTATAGATAATTAATAAGTGCGCAAACAAAAGCTAAATATCATTAAAATCACCGAATGAATAATTTGCGATGGTTTTTCTTTTATAACTGCTGTTACTATTAAATATATCTATTTCATTATCTCTACTATATTATTTTTGTTGTATTGTTAATTTTGTTTATGATATGAAACCGCTGCACCAAATTGTACGCGGTTTTAGCAGTTGTGTTCTTGAAGGTGTACCTTATAATCTGGGAATTCTTGATAAGTCAAGTCATGTGGATAGATAGGTAAAATAGGTCTATTTTAATAGGTTTCCAATTTTCCTACTTCTTAAATC